ACCTCTATCTGTAACACACTTAAGGTCATGGTTAGAGGAATTGAATCCACATACAGATTCCAGGTGCAGAGTTGTGCAGACAGAGACAGTTGATCTTATTCTGTGGGTTCTACTGTCCAGTGATGCAGTGACAAAGAGGTAAAGGCGTCCAGTCCGGTGTCAAAGTGATCTGAACCCCCCCCCCACCCCCCTTCTTTACACAGCTACAGGTAGAACCAAGCGAATGCTATGACGACAGCTCAAGCCGCAGTAACAGTTGGGCCACCTGAGGTGCACCAAGTTCTCAAATGTTCTAGATTCCAGTGGAACTACTATTTTTGTGGCTTTCAGTGTGAGGCAAATCAATCGCCAATCAAACAGCTACCTCACAAAAAAAGTATTTCCCGCTGTGGCGATGACAAAACAATTTCACTTCTATTTCACTTCTCAAAATACACCAGAACACTACTGCTTTTGCTTTCCCTTCTCCAAAGCTGTCACAGTGGCTTTGAGTGGCTTAGGCACATGACTCTGAGATGAGTTACACACACACACCGCAGTAGGCATTTATGTCGATGAAAGTAGTCGACAATCTCTTGGAACAGCCTCATGGTTAAAGAAAGATTTGCGAGCTGGTACTTTTTCTTTTTTTTTCTTTTTTTTTTGCATACGCACATAAAAACATAAACTCAATAAAACGTCTATCTGCAACAATAAAGAAAACTTTGTTTTCTTTTTGTTTATTTTTGAAAATGGAGAGTATCAGCAGGAGGAAGCGCTGCGACTTGTTAATCACTGTTATCTCGTGTCATGTTGCCAAACTAAGTTAGTTTACGTGGATTCACAAACTGAGTGCAGGGATAGAGCAGCAGCAAAGTGGTACATAATGCTGTCTTTTTTATGATGTAGTGGAGCCTGAGCACACCAGTTTGACAGTTGCATTATTTGAAAAATAGCGCAATAAGGGTGGCTCCAAAATACATCACTGCAGGGCTCCTTAAATCATCCTACAGCATCAACTAACTGACAAAACAAGACATAAATAAACAGACAGCCAAACAGAGAGTTGGTTCTCTAAAAGACAGGTTGTAAATGGGTGTGTGTTTGGGCGTGTGTGTAGTGTGAGAAGAAAACTGCTTTTGTTTCTTATCTGCTTCTTTCTGGATGTAACAGATTAGCATGCATCTGTCTGTCCCTGATATTAGTGGCTGGCTCCGCTTCAAGTCCACAAATCTCAATTTTCATGGAAGGCAGTAAATCTAACGTGAACTATGACCTCCAAAGGACATATGGGAGCTCTCCGCCATTCTTCAGGGCTGTGAAATGTGTGGTTAGGTTCCGTAAAGCAATCATATCATACAACATATTAAACACAACAAGAGGCACACCAGCAATTTAGCAGTACGCTTGCAGAGGGTTGTGGAGCCTTTTTGAAAAGGATCGCAAAAATCGAAGCAACAGAGTCTAAAATATCCCGACCTTTATAGGCCAGAGTTATTTTTCAGACTTTAAAAGTTTCCTCCACAGACACAGAAGGCTTTTTTTCCCCAAGCTGTGCAGGACTCTCAGTTACAAGTAAATTAAAGCATGTTGTCCATTATGAATTGTGTTCATGTCCCCGTATTGCTTTGTCACACAACCGTTTTTAGCGAGTTGGTGGGGGATGTATTGTCTAAGGCCCTGATCACACAGGAAGTGTTTTGCAGGTTGCAAAACACGAGACACACCAACCTGCCGTTTTTTTTTAACTGAATGCCACTAGTGAAAACAAACGCTTGCTGCGCCTTGTTATTGTTGCCAGGCAACCATGGACTCACCTCCTTATTCTAACCTTCCTGTGTAATCAATCTACTGTTTATTAATTAATTTTAGTTATTTGACAGTAGTTAGTATCTATGTCCTAAGATTTTGAGGCAGAAGGTACTTGCTGTAGCTCTTCTTGAGGGTGAGAGGCTGTCAGTAAATAGTTTTTGGGCACAGGGAAACAGAGATCTTTGTGAGTACATGAGACCTTAAAAAAGAGGGTGGATCATGGGGAGTACCACCAGTTGGTCCAGGAGCTTCGCCTATATGGCCATTTCCAGGCGTATTTTCGGATGACTCGGGGCCAGTTTGACAACCTGCTGTCTATTGTCTGGCCGTATAGCTCTGGGTATCCAGCAACTGCTACCACCACTTTCTCCTCCATTGTTTACCAACTGTAAACTTGTTGTCGTGACCACCACAGGAGACCGCCTCTCAAATCATCCAACTGGACAATGCCAAAAAAGATAATGAAATAAAAGATGAAGTTGGGTGTTTTTCCATTCCAAGTTGAAGTTTTTTCAGTTCGAGGAGTTTAGAGTGCTCCGGCAAAAACATCAGGTGCCTAGAGCGCAGAAACACGAGGCATGTTGCACCGCAAAAAACACAAGCATAAAGCTTCATTCTCATTAAAAACAAATTACAGAAAAGCACTTCCAGGTGATAAAATGCTTTCTGTGTGGTCAGGGCCTAAGGGTGCTTTGACACCTGACCTGTTGGGTTCAGTTAAAACAAACTCAGGTCCCTTTGTACGGTTAGTAGATTGATTTGAGCTGGTGTGAAAGCTGTCAGTTTAACCCTTGTGCAAACCAAACAACTGAAACAAGACCACCTGAAAAGATGTGTCTTTGTCCGCTGCAAAGAGGAGTCTGGTGCGGTTTGTTCGTGCTGTGAAAGCAAACAAACCAACCACAGGATTTAATGAAAGCAGATATGTGATTTTAGTTTGACCTCAAAAGTAAAACAAATAATAAATCCATCTGCTGATCATGAAATCTGTCCGCGATCTTAGAATTGATCTGTATAAGGCCCTGTATATAACCTATTTATGCTAGTCATTTGGTAACCATGGTAACACTTGTGAAAGTCAGCGCAGATATTTTCCCTGATTAAAAAGCTGTCAAAACTGCTGTGCTTGTGTCTGACTCCTTTTCTCTGTATCAGTAATGAAGTCTTATTTCATTAAGTCCATTAACGAGTGTGTGACAGTGATTCCACAGTAGCCTCATGACCCCCAAATTGTTACTGAACAAGATGCCTCCTTTTTGTCCTGTCTCAGCCTGAGTCATTACTCATAACCTCCGGTTGATTTGTAGTCTAATAATACTAACTAGAGAGGGCACTCAGTGAAGTGCAGATCTCTCAAATTGCAGTTACTCTTGACAATTCTTTAAGCAGACACACAGCAGCACGTTTTAAAAGCCTCCCAGAAGTTGAGAAAAATGCACGACTCGTCTATATTTGATGGAGCCATTCTGCGTTGCACAGAGCAAACTGAGTTTTCCTGCTAACAGGCACTATATGTGAAATACAGATACAATATAATTATGAGGATGAATGTATTTTTACAAAAACATAGCCAGGAGTCTTTGATGCATGACGATCATAGCTTGACTTTGAAGACTGTTAACTTTGTCTGTGGACTACAGGACAACAAAGTAGGAAATTACAATTAACACAACCTTTCGCTAAGCCCCGCCCCTTTGTGATGGTCCGACAAGCTGTTGGAGTAAGCATGGAGCCCACACTGTGACTAACTGCACTATTATCATATTTTTTGGAGAAATGAAACAGTGATTGCAGAGAGAAGCAGACAGAGGGGTCTACAGTCTGTGTTTGAAGGATATATCCAGGATGTCAAACTGACTCAGCAGCAACAACAGGTTAAAAAGACAAAGATAGTTAGAAGCTAAAGCCCAACTATAGGCTACAGATCACAGTGTAAAAGTGAACCACCACATCACTGCTGATCGCCACACAAGACAATGAATATAAAGGGAAACTTTGCTGATATTCAACCAGCTGTGTGGCATCGCAGTGTGTGCAGATGAAAGGTGTTTGGCTTCGCCCTCGTGCTGCTGCCAGCATCTGGACCTCTGTAGCCGGTCAGGCAGGGATCTCTGGGGGAAGTCAAACAATGTTCATCTGCACACAATGCTATGACACACAGCTGGTTGAATATATTGCTAATTTATGTTGTAATGTACCTAACTTTAGTGGATCATAACATATCAGGTAGGGAATTTTCCTGCCGATACTCTGGTTCAATATGAGACCAAGCTTTTAAAGAGATTGCAGCCATGACGAAGGCCAAAATGTGACCTGTAACAGACCGTAACGCTTGTTGTTTTCAGCTGAGACCTTTTTCCAGAAAACTTGTGTCCTCTACCAGTGGAGTGAGGAGTCAGCAGTGACAGTGACAGTATAGAACAGTCAATAAAACAGCTTTTTCAACAATGTGAATCACCGTACCTATGAGAGGTCAATGATAATAATAATACCTTAAATTTGTATAGCACTTTTCAAAGACCCAAAGACGCTTACATAGTAACACAAAAGGGGTAGTGACAGACAGGGGATCAAGCAGAAGACAACATAGTGAACAAAAGAAATGATGGGATGTAACACAGGCGGTATAGGAACAGTCAGTGGGGTGGAGGTGGTTAGGGGTAGGGGAGGTCGAAGGCTTGGGAGAAGAGGTAGGTTTTCAGGCGGGATTTGAATATGGGAAGTGAGGGAGAGTGGCGAACAGGTTGGGGGAGGGAGTTCCATAGTTCCACACGTGCAAACAAACTATGAGGCTGATTGGTCCAGTAGTTTGCAAGATTAGCTGCAAACCGACATTCACTCACACTCATATACACACACACACCACCAAACATACCCTCCAGGTTTATGCCTGGCGGAGATAATAATAATTTAAAAATAAATAAGTAATAATGAATAATAATTAGTTATTTCTTTGTGAGCTCTTTGTGACACCAAAGAACAAGATGATGCAGGATGGCAATCACCAAAACTGCAAGCAATTAGTTACCTATCAGTTTGAATAACTTCACGTTTACTTATCTGGGTTATTTGTTAGAAGTCAGTGTGAGCAGGAACCGGACCAGAAATAAATGTAAGAATGTTTTGTATTTTCCCCTTTGGTCCAGGCAAATGAACTGAACTACAGATATGAAATCACCCTAAGATGCAATCCACTTGTGTTTTTTTAGGAAAATCCATATGTGATGCTGCGGCAGAACCACCAAGACCTGGAGGGAAACGACCGCTATGAAGGCTTCTGTGTGGACATGCTAAAGGAGCTGGCAGATATCCTCAAGTTCAAGTACCGCATCAGGCTGGTGGGCGACGGACTGTACGGGGTTCCTGGGGCCAATGGAACATGGACCGGCATGGTCGGAGAGCTCATCTCAAGGGTATATAAATATGTACACACTGAGTGTGGCCTCTAAACCTGCAACCATAAATTAGCATTTTTATCACATCACATATACATGGAAGCACACCAGTTTTCAAAGTGTTTCCTCAAGGCACTCACTAACACAAAAGTGTATCGCTCAGCTCTCATATATTTCACAGCTAGCAGCTTTCCTTCATGTCATACACACACTTTTCATTCAGCAGTTGGCCTTTTCAGCTTAAGCATTGTATTTTCCAAAACAGTCACAGCTTGTTGGTGGCTTGTTCCCTGTCAGCTCCTTTCCTTAAGCCGTCTGGACTGACCTTAACAGACTTTCCTCCTGAATCAGTCTGTGTTGTTGCTGTTAAATCTCTGAGTGAGGTGTTACACTCCTCCAGCTATGCTGTATGTAGCTGTTAACAGGCAGATAAGGTTATATATATAAGGGAGCTGAGGGAAGTAGAGGGGGAGGAACAGAAGTGAAACAGGCGTAAAAAAAATAGTGAGGAGGAAGGCTGGGGTGAGGAAGAGGAAAACAGAAATGAAGTAGAGAGGGATTGAGCCGATCTTAAGAGGTGATCTGTCTTAATTCTGTGGGCTAATGGAGGGCAAAGCCATTAAGTATGTAAAGCATGTGAGTGCCTGCTCTTGTTATTGTACCAGCCCACCGCCACCCTCGTACCCTGTAAGTCGCCTGTGGAAGGCTGACCTTCAGAATGGCCGTGGTTGAAGTCAACATGTGTCTGTAGCCTCTTTTCCACTGTGCAAAAACCCCACAAACACCCACTAACACGTGGCTTTTGTCCTTAGTGAGAAAGGCTACAATCGCATTTCTCCACACTTTCTCCAGAGCTTCCACTTCTGTACCAAGAAGGCCACAACTGGCATTCCCTCCTTCTTCTGTACCAAGAAGCGAAGGGACTGATTATGTATAGGTATGGAGTGTGAGTCTTGTAGCTAGTGAATGAGTCACGTTCCTGCCGCAGCTATACCTACTTGTAATTTTTGCCCCTTTTCTTGCACGATGCAATGATGCACTGCCACAAATTCGTCCGTACATCGAACATTGTTCCAAATGAGTCTGCACCGAGTTTCTTCAGAGAGAGGATGAATAAGTAATTGATACAAGGAAAGACATAAGCGCCACTGGCGTCCATGCTGCCTGCTACTGTTTACTAACCCTGTTTTCTGGCACGTCTGGCATGTTGAATGTGACACACCACGGGAAACAAAAACAGAAAGTCTGCTGCAGAGCCATGTGCATGGCTCTGGTCTACTTGCAGTGGTAAAGAAGTCTTTTGCCAATTTTTAACAGGTTGTACTGAGTTTAAATAACTCAGGTATAAGTGCTAATTTTGTTGGAAAAAGGATATCTGAAGTGACAAGGACGTGGGGGGCGGACACAAAGTCGAGACGTGCTTGAGAGGGATTTGTCATGGGATGGGGGACATCTGGAGGGATGTTCCCTTAGTGGACAGAAAGGCTTGAGCTTGTTTAGTTAAAGGCTTAGAAAGGAATAGGAAAAGATGGCAAAGTAAAAAAGATTGTGAAAGAAAACAAAGGAACGGCCGTGGTTGCAAGTTTAACGGATAAGTTGAAAGGATATGAAATATACACTTGGTAGCAGCAAAGGAGGACAGCCTGAGGTTATTCCGGACAACAGGTACCTGTGTCCCTGCCAGTACCATTCAGCCTGAACAATATTTCACTGTGTGAGGGTGATTAGTTTGACGGGTGTCAGACAGCCTGTGCTAACAATGAGACATGTCAGGAGGAATCCAGACCAAAGTCTAAGTACAGTATGTCCTGGTTCATTAATCCACCGTGCTGCATTTAAAGAACAGAGGTATCTCCAAAGACTTAATTCTTAAAATCAAATGCTACGTCCCAGAAGGTAATGTTTAATTCATCGCTCACATTCACAAGTTTTTATCCATCTTTTTTTTTTCTACAGACTTAGCATGATATGATTGAATGCAAGTGGAAACAGGTATGATGCAATATTGAACAGGCAATATTACAGCATGTGTTTTTCTTCTGTTATACTAGCAGGCATAACAGCAGACAGGCAGAGGAATCCAGTAATCAATATTAATATTCTATCGTCACATAAATATTTCAGTGGCTGTTACGACCGTGTGTTCATTTTTCAAAGGATCAGGGACTTTCTTTGTTGAAATTGCTTGGATGGTCGTTTCCTGTGTGTGGTTTGCTTCCAGCACTGGGAGCAGGCGATCAGACTTTCAAACGACGGAGAGAAAAAAGAAAAAAAAAAGGACGAGGCTGGGGACAGCTGATGATGGAGGGTCGAAGCCTGCGGGCTGAGGGTAGGGCAGCAGAAGGCATTAGGCTTCAGTGTGGAGTGTAGGCTGGGGCGAGGTTAAAGAGGTGGAAATTTGGATGTGTAACACACAAATTGAAGCAAATTTTTATGTCTCTGTGGTGTGCAGCTAATCTTGCAACACACGGAGCAAAGGTGCAGCTCTAAACGTCTCCTGGTAGCGTTTTAAAACCTGCTCTAAAGGTTAGAATAATTATGGATAAAAAAAACATCCATTTCACATCACGTCAAATGGATGTTGTAGCAAAAACACTCTTTCATGCATGCCACATGCCCCCTCTCCCTGTCTCTCGTTCCTGGAGATACAAACAGTGTGTTGTGGATTTTTGAGTGGCGTCTGCAGTGCTGCAGCAGAGCTCCCCTCTCCTCACTCTCATCCTCCCATTCCTCTCCGTCTCCCCAATCCTCTTAGTTCTCCTGCAGCAGACAAAGAGCAATGCATTGCTGCTTTCACTCTTTGCACCTCAGGGAGATGAAAAATCCCTTGCAGTTGCACTTTGCTGGCCTGTATTATTAGCAGGGAGCCATCCAGTATTCAGCGTACATTGACCATTTCTACGTGTGTGTGTGTGTCTGTGTGTTTCCAAGTGTGTGTTTTACCAGCTGCTGCTTTGTCAAGTGATTTGTCTTGACAGTGTTCCCTTAGCCGGCCACAATGGTTACCCTCAGCTCTCTTGTGCCCTACACACACACACACACACACACACACACACACACACACACACACACACACACACGCACACACAGATACACACAGTGCCAATGTTGGATTATCCTCACCACAGATAGTGCTATTGGCAGACAAAGAGGCTATGGGACACAAAAGGGCATTATTAGGGATTTAGCATCTAGTAGCCAACTTCTTATGTCATCCTTTCAAGCGTTTAAATTATTGGTTATGTCATAAACTTGTGTCATGTCCTCACAGCTAGGACGCCTCTGGCTGTGTGTTTTACATGATGAGATTCTACCCGCCCTCTGTGTTTCAGAAAGCTGACCTGGCAGTCGCGGGCCTCACTATCACAGCAGAGCGTGAAAAGGTCATCGACTTCTCCAAGCCCTTCATGACCCTCGGCATCAGCATCATGTACCGTGTCCACCTGGTAAGTTACCTCCCACCACCCCATTCCCCCAACACACACACACACACACACTCACTCTAACCGATCGAAATGGCTCTCGAACAGCTTGTGGACGTGCCACAGCAGGCTGTCAGCCTTGTCTAATGGCTGGAAAAGAACCACTCTCCCTTTTGGATTGTAGAGTCTATCTCTCTTAGTCTGTCCAAATCCTTCCACAAACTCTCCTCCTTTGAACCTTATCACCTCTTTTACCTCTCAGCTACTCAATTCCCCCCGCATCTGTGTTTTCGAGGCCATACCCTTCCTCTTCCTCCAACCCTTAGTCTCGCTTTCTTGCTTCTTATTTATCTTCCCAACATCCTTTCCCTTCTGTCCCTGCAGTCTCAACTTTTTAATAGTGTCCAGCTCTTTTCACTTCTCCTCTGTTTGCCCATTTCCTCCTTCTGTTGCCGTGGCCCCCCCATCCCGCCAGCGCCAGATGGTATGTTTTACTGTGTGAACTTCCTGATGAATGTACCAGTTTCACAGTTGTTTTCTGCTTGCCCTCTGCTTGGGTTTGGCCATCTTATTTCGCACAAGCAACGCCCTCTGCGCTCCGCAGAGAGCAAGCCCAAGCAAGAAACAGTGAAACAACAGCAGTGCAGGTGGAAACGAGGCAGTGTTTGCAGAGTCAGTGGCCCATTAATCATCAGCCCTCACCCAAAACCCAAGGTGACACAGCGGGGCCAAGCATGGCAACGGTCACAGTTCGCACTTATGGCACGTCCGTGGTTTCCCAGAGGGGTGTTTACTCACATTCCCTCCTGCTCCTTTCCTCCCTTCTTGTAAACCTCCCTCCTTCTCACCTTCCCATAGTGTACACACACAGCGCTAATAGGTGTACCAGTGAGGGACTCAATTGAGCGCCAACAGTTGGGGAGAATCAATCGATGCTCGCAGCAGGTGCAGTGTTAAATGGGCTACGGGGTGGCGCATCACCTCTGAAGTGGGAGGCAGGCAGGCGGGTGGCAGCATGAGGAGGTGATATGGAGCTGATGTCCCCAGGGCTAGCATGCACAGTTACAGGGTTGAATTAGCACAGATTCGACCCAGTTGACGCCAAATTCATGATAAGAGGTCAACAAGAAGGAAGCGGTTTTTAATAAGATAGAGCCACTGCTCTGCGGAGGTTTTGAAAAGACAGAGAGAAAAGAGAAAGTTCAAGACAAGAGCGAAAGTGAAGACAGGTGTCCCTTGTCTTTGTCTCCCTCTGCCCCGCCATCATTTCCTCATGCTCTTTTTGCTCTCATTGCCCCTTGGCATTTTCTCAGATCTGACTCATAGCGGTCCCTCAGCATGGCTCTAAAATTCGATATTTGAATTTCTGTGACTGCACTTGTTTAGTTCTAATCCACTGACTATTGATCTGAGGCACAGTGATTTCTACAAGGGGGTTTGCTGCTTATTTCAAACTTTAAATGAAAATTTCAGTCTGATCAATAGGAATGGCGAATGCAATAAAATAAAGGCGCCTGTTGAGTATTAATTACCCTCAGACTATTGGCCATTTAATCTCCATCTCTCCTCTTTGTCAGTATGTGTGCATTGTACGTCTTTCTGTCTCTCTCTCAAACACAAACACACACGTTTCTCCCTTTTGTTGTGCATCTTTTTTTGTCTTGTCATTAATTTCCATTTATTAAGACTGTGACACATATTCACATTCAGAGCCAGTCAATGCGGACAATATATTTCCCTCAATAACAATAATATTGTAAAAAGTGTAATCCTGTTTTGGTGAAATTGCTCATGTGTTACAACAAAGCTATAAACAGTTTCCTGAACATCGTTGCCTTTAGGCACAATTCAGACCAAATTCATTTCCTGTGTGAAGCATCAGAAAGCAGCAACAAACCTGGACTGAATCTCCACTGGTTCCTCCACTCCAAACACCGTCGACTGTCATTGTCTGATTTTTCCGTGGCTCATTCAGAACAGCATCAAATGACAAGACTTAATTACCTGTCACATGATTTTGTGTCAGTGTTTTATGTTATACAAAAAGACAGGGAATCTGATTCCCTGGAGGCATCACTTGTTGTCTTGTATATACACTCTGTTGTATGATTTCTGGGGCACCACATTGAAATGAAAAATACAGGAACAAATCTCAGACAGCTTGCAGCTTGTCTGCAGAAGACGATCTTTACCTGTCTCGGCTCTCCAGCTGTCTTGTCTGACTTTTTTTTGGCTGGTTGAAGGTTTGTAGTCATCCACTCTATACAGTCATGTAGTGCTGTATCTTATACGGTATGGTGTGTGTTCTTTGAGATGTACATGTAGTTTGAGGCTACATTAAATACATTTGATTTGCTTTTACTCACAAATCAAAGAGCACACCTTCACCTCAGCAGCCAGTAAAATATGGGAATTGGACATCCGAGTTATGAACCCAGACATAACCTAGAGCTACTGTCAACCTCTTCTCATAAAACCCATCCCTCCCTCTACATTCATCATCTGTGCGAGAAAAGCCACATGCTGTAACCCGAGTCCCCAACTCTCCAAGGTACTTTATATCCATGCCAGTTCCATCATCTAAACATTTCCTTCATTATGGGGACTGTGCAGCAAACATGGTGGATTATAAGACAATGGGCCCAGGGCACGGATTTGCAAACGGCCCAGCAACCTCTCTTACATTGGAGAAAGACACACAGACTTTGTGGTGGTTTTGTCCCTTTTTTATTAGTCTGTGGTAATTCTGTGTCTCCTTGTGGGGGTTTTGCATCTATTTGTAATCATTTTGCGTCTCTTTTAGGTAATTGTGTGCCTGTTTTTGGTCATTTTGCGTCTCTTTTTGGTGATTTTTCCACCTCTCTTTGGTAATTCTATGTCTTTTTTGGTCGTTGTGTGTCTCTTGTAGTCATGTTACGTCTCTTTTAGGTAATTGTGTGCCTGTTTTTGGTCATTTTGTGTCTCTTTGTAATCATTTTACATCTCTTTTTGGTGATTTTATGTCTCTTTTTGTAATTCTGTTTCTTTTTTGGTCGTATCATGTCTCTTTGTAGTCATTTTGCATCCCTTTTTTGGTGATTTCCCACCTCTCTTTGGTAATTCTGTGTCTTTTTTGGTCGTTTTGTGTCTCTTCGTAGTCATTTTGCATCTCTTTTTGGTAATTCTGTGTCTTTTTTGGTTGTTTTGTGTGTCTTTTTAGGTGATTTTGTGTCTTTCTTTGTTCGTTCTGTGTGTGTTTGCCATCATTTTGCATCTCTTTTTGGTAATTCTATGTCTTGTATGGTTGTTTTGTGTGTCTTTGTAGTTATTTTGCATCTCTTATAGGTAATTTTGTGTCTGTTTTGGTCATTTTGTGTCTCTGCGCAGTTCCTTTGCATCTCTTTTTGGTCTTTAAGTGTCTCTTTGTCATCATTTTCAGTCTCTTTCCGGTCTGTAGGTGTTAATTTGAGTGACATTTTGCATTTGAAGTCCAGCAGTGCTCTTAACACTTTGGGTCCCTGAGCATGTGCACGGTAGGCCTGTTCAGTAATCCATCCATGGCGGCAAAGTAAGTGCAACTGTGTGTGTATAAGAGAAAGAGAGAGTGGCACTTAATTAGACATAGGAGGTAATTAGGGGTGTGTGGAAGCCGTGTCAGATTCAGCTGCTGCCCTGAGGGGAGAGCACAGCATACGGAGCTTTATTGATTCTCTGGCCACACACGACCCCGAACAAAATTACACAGTCACAGACACATGTAGCCTTGCGCCTACACACACACACACACACACACACACACACACACACACACGTACTTTCACACTGTAATGCACAGTCACAAAGTCACAGGCATGTTCAAAGCACACAGACATAAAGCTAGACAACCTGGTGAGCCCAAGAGACAGCGGGAAGTTGTTACGAATATGACCCTTTGACCTCTGCCAAATCAGCTGCTTTCTTCAGATTGCCCCCGCGGCTATCTCAACAACCGTAGTAGCTGACATCCTCAGCTCTGACACAATTAGAAATGCACACACACTATCAAAGGGCCTAGAACAAAGGCAGAAGGTGGGGGGACACAGGGAGGGAGAGGAAGAAAGACAACATAAAAGAGAATTAGCAAGAAATGGGCAGAAAGAGAAGCAAAAGGGGGTGGCGAGATGACGGAGAAATGAGAGAGAGAGTTGAAATGACAATGGGACGTCTCCTTCAGTGAGTCAGTTTTCAGGCAGGCAGCCTCAGGGGGCAACAGTGTGGTATGAATACCAAGAGGCAGGATGACTAGGTGAAATCCTTGACTGGATAACCTCACCAGCTCCTTCAGCCACCCTCCTGGCATGCATGCAATCCCTAGAGACGGGGAGAGGCGGGGGGCGATGAAAGAGGGACAGTTGGAAGTTGAGAGAGAGCAAGGGCAGTGCAAGGTAAAAATGAATGAGCCCTTCACCTGCGTGTTTAGAGGGAAGAAGGGGTATACACATACTATAATAGGCAGCAATTCCTCGCTATTCTATTTGTTGAGATGTACTCATAAAAAGCAGGTTGTTGTTTCGCCCTTGCACCACGTCTGCATTCTCTCCCGTACCTTTGATTTGCCTTACGCCCTCTTATCATCTTAACATGACGATAAACCTTTATAAAATGATTCCCCTGCCTCTAATAAAAATAATTCAAACACAGCAGCAAATGTTTATGTGTGAGGAGCCAGGGTAACCTGTGGCTATAATTTATACTCACATTTGGTGCTTGTTCTATTCTGAAATCCCTTTATTGCAGTGGGTTTACTTTTAATATCTAACTCATGCGCTAGGGCAATTATTAATGTCGGTGCTTGTAGTTTGTTTGTTCATCGTGTCATAGTTTTGGAGTCCTCTGTCTCATCCGAGTGTGTATATCCCGTTAAATAGTATCTGCCAGATTAGCCACGGTTGCTGTGTTTTCCCCAGCCAGGCATCAGCTACCTGCTGCCTCTGTGTTCGGCACTGGTGCTCCCTGTGCGCTGGGCTGCCCAAGCACGTACTGTATCTGCCCTGCTGCTGATGACTGACAGCACAGGCAGCTGCTGACAAGCTTTGAAACACAAGCGCGCGCGCACACACACAAACACACAGCTGCTGACAGTTTGTCTTGCACACACAGGCTCACCGTACAAAATGAAGACAGAGCAGACCACCTATATGAGCTCACTGTTTAGACAATAAACCTAGTGCCATTTGGATGGACTGGGAGGTACCAGTGGTTTCCTGGAATCGCTCTCTCAAGTCAGTTCATCACTGATAACTTATGAATTACTAAATACACTTAATATTTATATACATAAGTTATTCATAACCGTGCTAACATCAGCGACACTGAGCCCTCGGTTGTAAAAATGCATCAGGTAAGCATCTGCAAAGGACATCATTTCTTAACACCACAGGCAACAGGAGTCAGTCAACAAGGAAAATGTGGGAAAGCCACTTTAAAGCTCCAGTGTGTAGGATATAGGGAGATATATTGGCAGTAATGGATTATTATATAATAAGTATGTTTTCTTTAGTGTATAATAATCAGCCAAAAATAATAATTGTTGTGTTTTCGTCACCGGCAGTAGCTAAGAGACCTCAGCGGATAATTTAGCTCCCATTAAAAACCTCCTGAACATCTCAATCTTACATTATAGGAGGAAAAAGGCAACTACACATTAGCGGGTGCTAGGCTAGCAGCCTGTCTCAGACGTGCCAAACAATGTTAGAGAATCACTGATTTGTAAAATGATGAAATTGTTTCACTCTGTGTTTTACTGGTTGTAATCACCCGGTCCATTTGTTTTGGTGAGGAGGAGGAGGAGAACTCTGTGGATAACTCAACTCCCTGTAAAAACCTCCTGAACAAAGAATGCTGAAGGCAGGTTGCACTGCTAGCTAGATGCCTCTAAATGCCCCTAAATCATACACACCTTTCCTTTAAACCTGCTTCTATATATTTTTTGGCCACACAACAGGCTGTAAACACAACAATGGCGCAACACCACCTTTATAAAGCTACTATACTCAGTGTGTTGCTTAGAAAATGTACTTATCCAGCAGACAAGTCCAATGTTAGCACCAATTTAATTTGTGTTTCCAGCAACCTGACGAATGTAAGTCCAATATTCACTCTCTTTTAGCTCTGTTTTGGTCTCCGCCAACCCCTGAGGGAAATATCTGACTCTATAGCTGCTTAATGCCCTGTTATGTTCACCAGCCAGACACTAACTTTGTCAGCTGTTTGGGGCTCGGTAGGTAGCATCCAGTAGGAGGAGGAAGAGTGAAAATGAGGCTGAAATGAACACGAAAACAGTGAAGTTGCTGCAGTGAAATCAAACCATGAGCTCAAAAGACATAAAAACACCCTGTAGAGTTGTTAAGTGAGTGTTAATCATCTATTGGTTCATCGCTGCAGGAGAGCCTTTTCAGATTATGCATAGCAGATTGATCCATTGATTAGTGCCATTTCCAAAACATAACATTATGGCACACATTGTAGTTTCATTGTTTTCAATTAACGATTTCAGCAAAAATGCATGTGTTTGGGAAGTGCTGAGCATATCACTGGATAAATGAAGCTTGAATTATACTGCAGGAGCTGCGTGAGAGTATGCAAATGGATGTTTTGATATAGTTTTGCTGTTAAATGTGGCCCCATATGACTTCAGTTAATCAAGAATTTCTCAGGGTTTGGATTGTTTGCAGAAGAAATGTGAAGAGATAGGGTGCTTCCTGAATTCAACACAGCGCAGGGTGAGTAACTCATATACAAATGATCGTTTGCGAGGTGAAGTATTCTTTTAATTAAGCCTGTTCTTTCTAGGACTCAGTTTACGAGACCTCAAATGTTTGTAAAATGGAGAAAATAAATGTTTCCAGAGGAAAATATCCTGACACATTTTGGAAGCACAGACTTTTAATACATTTTTATGCAGTTCCATTTAGCCTATCTGAATGTCTGTGTGCTCATTAGTGAGTCTTTCGCAGCCTCACCATGGATAATTTCCCCTCCAGCTCCTGAAAACATAACTTTGTCTCTGAGTGTTACAGCACAAATATTACACCACAAAAGTCAAGATTTCTCAGCAGCACGCAACTCCTACTGTTTTCCCTTTTGTCCTTGTGATTTCTGTCTCTTCCTACATTTCTCTCTGTCTCTATTTCTGATCTGCTCTCCTGAACCTCCACTTCTCCACCATCTGTTTGCATGGGTGTCCTGCGTCTCTGCAGCTCTCTTCATCTTAATAATAGCACCTTGGTGGGAGCTTAAGATGTGGACACGCGGGGCAAGCATTTAAGAAAACGCTGGTTCAGCATGCACCAAACTGGACCAGCAAACAGGAGGACTCATGTCAGCACATACTGCTGTTACCCCAGTAATACCAGTGCCAGCAAGAGACGGCTTGGCAGTGAGACTCATTTTACAACAATATCCTACCCCTGAGACGGCCATTGTGTGTTTCACCACTTCACTATTCTATTTTGAGACGGCTATCATCATCATCATCATAAGCGTTACGCTCTATAGATAGACAGACAGACAGACAGACATTAAAAGTGGCAGGCTGATTTGAATCATTTGAATTACACTCTCCTGCTTTCTGCACCACTCCTATTTTACTCAGTCAGGCTAATATGCAAGTGATTACAGACGCATTAATGAATTTTCATCTCTGTGCAAGTCTAAATGGGGGTTCGTTTATCATAACAAATACCCACCAAAATAATTTCACCCTCTTGCTGCAAATTTAATTTTGGAGGGCCTTAGAAATGTATTACCGCAGTGTTTTGGCATGCATGATATCCCCCAGGAGCACCTAATTGACTATTTTTGCATAAAAGCGATTTGGGTTTGTTCAGGTGGGCTCCGCAACGCTGCCTGTAGACAGAAATGAAAGATAAGGAATATCTACTCTCATAACAACACTTGGACAGTTGGCTGTTTGATCACCTCCACTATTTAACTGCGTTGCCGGCCCTGACAACCACTTCCATTTCATAGTCATTAACAGATGGCGGACGTGCATCTGCGTGTAAATGGCTAATATTCCCTTGCTGATGGGTCAGCCGGGCTATATGCGGAACATGGACATGAGAAATATGAGCACGCACGCACACGTAAATAAGCACACACAATCACCAGTAATTGGTTTCATTTAGAGGACAATAGCTGGTGGTGCTGGAAATAACACATTAGGAATTAGCCCCTATATTCCCATTGCACTGCTCGCTGCCAACCCTATTTTAGCCACTTATCTCCTCTACCACTGGTTACCAATCCAAACCGATACATAACAGCCCTCAGCTGCTTCGGCACTGCTAGCTTTGCTGTCCAAGCCAAAGCTATTAATCTCTTTCCCTTTTTTTCCCTCCAAGCAGGGACACTGTGCGCTCCCAGTCAAACAGGAAGTCAACTATAGGTCACTTAAATGAATTTTGATTTAATGTAGCTGTAATGGTTTAGTTGGTTATTCGACCTTTCTCTCTCCCTGCATGCAACCATGTGGAGAGTGCAAACGGTGACTCTTGTCTTTGTCGGCTCATAGCTTTAACCTGTTCTTTATGGTTGGACCTGTATCCAATACATTTTTATATAAAGGCTTATACCAATTAACAGGAAGCAGTTAGGAAAAAGCTGGTTAATTCAGTTATTTTTTTTTTTTAAGTTTTCCAGTGCCAGAATCCTGGAAATAAAACCTCTTATCTGTGATGTTGTATCAATATACAGCCCTGTGCCACTCTGTTGACAATTCATGGCAGACTGAGTTTGTGCTCGCATACAATGTTGATCTGAATGTTTACATGCAAATGAGATTCATATAATTATATTGTTATCAGTTTAGGACAGGAAAATCTCGGCTTATCACATCAAAATCCCTTTATTTACTGTACCAGTCACCTTTTTCATCTTCTCCAAATTACACAGGCGGCAGTAAATGTTGTTTAAAACAGACCACATCCGGCCTGGGGCGAAAGAATCAACACTGAAATACAGCAACATTTCGTTTTAATTAATCTTGGCACTCACTTTGCAGGGGTGATGTAAGAGACTGTTAGAGATGTTTTCTACACATGCTAATTAGTTCATCTTCACCTTTACAAGTACGTATTTAACCTCTCACCATGTTGCGTTGATTTGTGTGGATTGAACATGGGATCAAAGGGTTACACGGTCTGTGCAGGCTTTAATGATTTTAACCCCTGCGCTGTGTGTGTGTTTGTGTGTGTTTCAGGGACGTAGGCCAGGCTACTTCTCCTTCCTGGATCCCTTCTCCCCTGGTGTCTGGCTCTTCATGCTTCTGGCCTACTTGGCTGTCAGCTGCGTCCTCTTTCTGGTGGCCAGGTAAAGAGCTCATCAGTGAAAGACACTGTACAGATGAGACAGAAAACAGCGAGACACAAACAGAGGGGGTAGAGAGCACAGAGTGAAAACACACAGGGTTTGTTTGGGGGTTATACAGTGGAGGAAACAGGTGTCTGTTCTCCTGCCTTTCTTCAGTCTCTCCTCTATCTGTCTAGTCGATCTCCCACAACACAGTGAAAGAGATGTTCTCCTCCCAGTGGTGGGTCTCCAGCGTCATACTGGCACCTGCTGGTCAGGGAGGGAACTGGCACTGCTGCTGCTGCATATTACTAGTGCTTATGTACAACAGAAATGTTATTAAATTACACTTTATTTTATGAAGACGCTTTATCAAAAATGCTAATTTATGTCTAATGAAACACCTCCTGGAATTAAAATTATCAGTCCCCAGACAGGTAGATGTATTACCTGTGAGAAGAGCGTTCTGTGGGTGGTAAACTGTAATTAAATAGAGTGATGTGATTTGATAATAACAGTGTGAATAATATGCTTTAATTATGTTTTTGCTGAGATTTGTGAAGAAAAATGTTTCGTGTACAGTCATACTGTCCTAAAACAATACCTGCATGCTGAAATGTACATTTACAAAGTTATCAGTGGCTCAAAAGCCCCAGTTTCACCAAACACTTTCAGTATGGTACCTTTGGAACCAAAAGTAACCCTTCAAACACGGTACCTAGACCCTGGCGTTTCGACCGCAAGCAGTGCCCTTAAATGTGGGTGGGGTTGTTTACACTCAGTGCTCAATCCAGCACTCACTGTATTTCCTCCTCTGTCAGTCTTCACCTCGTTTATCGTCCACAGATCAAGGCTGCATGCCAACATTTTCAGAACAAAATAAAACAGGCTGCGTTACAAGTAAACATTCCACCTTAAAAGTAGCTGACAGTTGGCCCAGTGAATTAAGGTATTTTTTCTCCAACTCCAGCTGCTGCAAGAGGCAGCAAAACATCCTTTTATTTTATAGTTACAGTCTACAATAAAACTCTCCACGGTATGAGCAGTGGTTACATGAGCCTCAAAACCAGCCACAACTCAGCCCTGAGCAGAGTGACCGTCCTCTATTGACCAATCAACAGACTGCAGTGTTCACAGCTCCACCTTTTAGTACCAGATCTGTGTGCTAGGTACCCCAACAGAGGGGGGACCAAAAATGGGGACAGTAGGACATGGTTCCATTGGTACCATCCACAACTTTTCACAGTGGAAATGAAGAAAAGGTGTACTGTACCGAACTGCTCGGTTAAAACGGGGCTTAATTGTAATTGCCGCAAAGATATATTCCAAAGTTCAGCTGAAGAAGCTGATATTCAGCAGTCTGAATTACACAAATCATGTACTGTGATGACCCCTCTGCTCCACAAGGTGTCCACATGCTTGTTTTGCTGGCTGCTCTTTGTCTTACAGGATCTGACTCAAGGCAGAGAGTCGTCATTAACCTCATGAGCCGCACTATTGCCCAGTGTGGTTAATGACATAAAAGTTCACCACCTTCCCACAGGCTCTCTTTTCCCTCGCTGGCACAGCTGCTGTTCTGTTGGGTTACTACAGACACTTCCACACACCCATACACATATACATGACTCATTACTGACTTTCACATTTGTGCTGTTCTTTATTGTTACTTTTGTAAATAAATATGCTTTTTCTGTTTTGTTAAGTCATCTTGTCTCCCATCTCTGTTGCAGCCTTTAAGCCGGGCCGTAACAACACCAAAGTTACTGTCTCTGTAGTGTGAAATTCCTCATGGTGGAAAGCATGAAATGAAATGAAGACAGTTATTTTTGTTGCCATTACTCCATCAGAGAAAGAGAAATGTAAAGAGAAAATGTTCTACTTAAGCTTTGAAAGATACCCACTTGATTTCGGAATAGATTGTACAAACAGGAAGAATGATAGCAGTAACCAAGAACTCTTTATATGTACATATGGGGATATGATTATTGTGTTAAAACTGTGTAAGACTCAATTAAGTTGTCCTTTTAACTTATTTTCCTGTATGAGCTTTTGTCTGTGTAACTTTTTTTGTTAATTTTGGCAGATTAAATGGAAATTATTCCATGGTTTTGAGGCAGAGACTGCTGCACACAACAGAGTTGTCACATAACTTGAGCTTCACGCAGCACCATTTGAACATACCAATTACATTGCCTTCATCCCCACTGTTTAAGTAGGCAGCACATGGGGAATGAAAAGCAGGTTGGTTTCCTCCAGAGAGCCAAGGTGACTTTGAGCTCGGTTGACTGTTAGAGTTGTTTTGCTCCGCATCTATCTCTCCCTTTCTTTCTCCATTTCGCTCGCTCCCTATCTCCTGAGTTTTGCTCCCGTCAGAATACCTAATCCAACTTTCATTCCCACTCTCGTCGCCTGTGTTCCTCCTCTCTGACTCTCTCTGTTGTCTAACCTCATTGTCTTGTTCTCCCCAGATTGACACCTTATGAGTGGTACAACCCCCACCCCTGTCTAAAGGGTCGCTGTAACCTGCTGATCAACCAGTATTCACTTGGCAACAGTTTCTGGTTCCCTGTTGGAGGTTTTATGCAGCAAGGATCCACTATTGCTCCCAGAGCTCTGTCCACACGTTGTGTCAGCGGAGTGTGGTTAGTATCGGCTACAGAGGCACACAAACATCAGTGCATTTGCATGTTTTCGGCTTTCCGCTCAGGTATACACCCATTTAACTCTATTATGTTTTATTTTGTGCAAATTGCTCCATCATGGAATGCATTTCATCAGTGATGTGATTTTGAGGCTTCATTCCAGGTTTCCAGGAAATCAGGGTTCAAGATGAGGTAGTGATGGCGTTTGTGCATGTGCATACATGAGACATTGTCTGTGTATGTCTGCCTCTGCAGCTAAAACTTCACTTCCTTTCATCCCAACCCGACCACTGTCACCTTTATCCATTCACACCCACCCATTCATGCATCCACCCACTGAAAATGCTGCAGTGTCTTCTCCTCTCAGGTGCGCAGTTATTTTAATCCTCCCACACTTTCACCCAGACAATCTATCTTCATACACCAGCCTGACCATTTACATACTTTTATAGGTGAATACATATGTTCTTGTCCCCTGCCTTTCCTCTACAGGTGGGCCTTCACATTAATCATCATTTCATCCTACACCGCCAACCTGGCTGCCTTCCTTACAGTCCAGAGGATGGAGGTGCCGATAGAGTCAGTAGACGACCTGGCAGATCAGACGGCGATAGAGTACGGCACCATGCACGGAGGATCCACAATGACCTTCTTCCAGGTCAGAGGTTTACACGTGTCATTGCATATGATAGGTTTACAGCATACATGTATACACACAGACTCAACCAAGAGCCTGCAGGGATCTGTTGGCAATCAGTGATGTTATCCTCCTCATCATCCTGCTGTCCTTCCTGTTTTTCTCCTCCAACCACAGGTTGTATCTGTGTCCTATCTCTCCCTTGCCACAACAATCCAGTACCCTTCTCCTCAGGGAGGTGGGGTTCTGTCTACATCCCTAAGGGATGCACACCCTATCCTCTTTCATCTTCTCAAGAGTTGACCTCAGAGAGATAGAAATAGAGTGAGGAACACAGAAAGTGAGTGTTACAGAGAGACAGACAGTGAAGGATGATGTGGAGGGAAGGAAAGAGATACATTAGCCTCGTCTTTCTCTGTGCTTTCACATCCACTGGACCTTGAATAACTGAAAGAAGATAGGCCAAGAGAAAGTAGAGGACAGGTGGAGATGTTAAGTGAAGGTTCTGTTCTAAACTTTGAAGCTACTCGTGTGGAAAAAGATCTGCTCAAGAAAAAAATAACATTCGCATATAACTGCAGCAAACCCTTTTGGAGAATTTGAATAAATCCATCAGTCAAGAAAATGAAAAAGAATAACAAATGAAAACCAATCTCCACCTCTGCAAAACTGAGAAATAAGTATCTGCGACTGATGTGACTTTTGTTTACTGTCTCTCACATCCGAATGTGTCTGTTTCTCCTGATTGTGTCTCGCCTCTCGCCGCTCTGCAGAACTCTCGCTACCAGACCTACCAGCGTATGTGGAACTTCATGCACTCAAAACAGCCCAGCGTGTTCGTGAAGAGCACGGAGGAGGGCATCGCCCGTGTCCTCAACTCCAATTACGCCTACTTGCTAGAGAGCACCATGAACGAGTACTACCGCCAGAGGAACTGCAACCTGACTCAGATTGGAGGACTGCTGGACACCAAGGGCTATGGCATCGGCATGCCACTGGGTGAGTGGAGAATGATGGGGAATTAGAGGGGGGGAAACGAATTAAAAGTAAGGGAAAAGAAAGGAATAACTTGAAAAGTGGAAGGGAGAGGAAGTTGGGTGTAAAATGAAGGCAGCAGAGGACAGAAACTGACGGTTTTGCCTAGATACACTGTATAATTGAAGCTAAGAAGGGGGAATGAAGAGCAGAGGCATTAGTTGGAGGATACACCATAAACGTCACATTGGACAGTTAAATTGAAAAGTAAAGCCTCAGCAATGCCAAACCATTAGCTGCTCTCATGGAGGAAAATGATGCAAAAAGTAAGAAACTAAAAGACTGCTAGACTTTAATAGAGCGGCTGTTTTCATGCTGTGATGGGAGAAATGAGGACAAGAGAAAGGGAATTTGAAATATTGTTCCTGTTGAATGTGGAACTGTTGCTGTACGACTCGTTGGCTGCACTGAGAGTATAAACACTTTGGTTTACTCACACTTTGATCTCAACTTGAGTCGATCTCCACACGGGGGAAAAACACACCTTAAAGTAAACAAGATTAATTTCAATTCCTTTGATCTTTAGAGGATAGATAAACCCTCTCTTTAGTGGCTGACGTTCCATATCACACACTGTGATGTGACCTGTAGAACACTGCAAAATCCTACTAAGCCCTTAAATCTTATATTTGAAATCTAATATTTTGTTAAAACAAAGTCCTCTAATGGAGTGACATAAGTCCCATTCACTGTGACAAATCAGAAGAAAGAGTCATAAAAATGTCATTCGATTTAAAGGGATACTTCACCCCCGAAAATGATCACTCGTTTATCAGTAACTGTGTTGCCTTGAATTCATGAAGAAAACATGTGTTTCTCACATGCCTCCCATGAACGAAGAATCTAAAAACAGATAGAATTCTTGGGGTCCGCCTTTAACAGCAGCAAGACAGGGAAGTGAATTGAGAGTGACACTTAATTAGGCTCTCTTCAAAGCAAGCCAGACACCTCCTAATACTAATACTAATACTAATTCAGTCATACTGTAGTCAAAGAAAACCAGCAGTTTGGTGGTATGGATCCGTTTTGGGGCCTCTCTGCCTCTCCTCGGGCCTCTTCCACGCATCTACGTGGAAAGCATAAGGCGGAGAGAGCACACCTCTCTGCCCTTCCATGTACAAATGAAGAAAGCCTGAGGCAAAGAGAGCAAACCTCCCTGCCCTTCCATGCGCCTACATGGAAAGCCTAAGGTAGCAACAAAGACCCTCCCCCCAGGAACAGAACAGAGCAGCATCAATGACAAACAGAAATGACACTGACACAGCATGAAAAGGAGGAGCTGGGGTGGAGGCGGGTTGCAAAGAGGCTTGCAGAGGAAGCAGCAAAAGTAGGCAGGTCACAGCATTTTAAATAGGGCGACCTCAATGAGATTTGCCAATTGATTGCATAGAAAGGAATCATGTGATCCATCAGCTGACTCCCTTCCATCAATCAGCTGCTCCATCAGTTGATTGAACTGTTTGAGATCAGCTGATGTAGCTGGGATGTGAGCTGAGCTTGACATAGTGTCCTGCCTGAACTAACGCTATGCTCAATTAATTATACACAAAGCCATAATTCACCTTTTAAGTAGCAAGATAAAACCCTGACCAATTGTCGAACCTCAGATTCAGGAGGAGCAATGTGGATTTTGCTCTGGCTGTGGAACAGTGGACCAGCTCTTTTCATGGGAGTTTGTCCATCCAGTCTTCATGCGTTTTGTGGGCTTGGAAAAGGCTTACAACCCCGTCTCTCGGGGGGTGCTGCAGGACTATGGGGTACCGGGCTCACTGCTAAAAGCCATCCGGTCCCTGTATGACCAAAGTGAAAGCTGTGTCTATATACTTGGGGTAAAATCAGACACATTCTTGGTGGATGTTAGCCTTTGCCAGGGTTGTCCTAGTCACCGATCCTGTTTGTGATATTCATGGACAGGATCTCAAGGAGCAGCCGGGGAAAGGAAGGGGTCCAGTTTGGGGACCTCAGAATTGCATCTCAGCTTTTTGCAGATGATGTGGTTCTGTTGGCTTCATCACACCGTGATCTCCAGCATGCACTGGGATGGTTTGCAGTTGAGTGTGAAGCAGGTGGGATGAGAGTCAGCACCTCCAAATCTGAGACCATGGTTCTCTGCTGGAAACCGGTAGTTACCCCCTCCAGGTTGGGAGAGAGTTACTGCCTCAAGCAGAGAGTTCAAGTATTTCAGAGTCTTGTTCACAAGTGAGGATAGTGTTGAAAAACTCTTCTCCAAGTTGCTCCTGGGCCCATAACCTGTTGAGGTCCGCAGCCTCACCAGCGTTGAACTCGGGGAATAATCTGACGGAGGCAATAATAATCTTTAGCCTGTATGGCATATTTATTGAAGACCTCACATTTTCTTCAGTCACGGAGGGAATGAACTCCGACCTCTGACAGAACATGACTGGGCATGGCCTAAACAAAAAATGTGATGACGCAGCATACTTGTAGACTTGTGCCTCACTGTGGTGAACACAAAATACTGCCCCTCAGTAAACAGCAGTCACACAACAGTCACATAGCAAATTGAGTACACAATACAAAAGAATGCCTCTTAACAGATAGAATGGAGCATGAGATGGATTGGCAGTTTGGTGTGGCTCCTGTAGCGATGCGAGCACTGCGCCGGGCCGTCGTGGTGAAGAGGGAGCTGAGACAGAAGGCGAGGCTTTCGATTTACTGGTCCACCTACATCCCGACCCTCACCTATGGTTTTGAGCTCTGGGTAGTGACGGAAAGAATGAGGTTGCGGATACAAGCAACAGAAATGAGTTTCCTCTTTGGGGTGGCTGGGTTCAGCCTTAGAGATAGGGTGAGGAGCTCGGACATCTGGAGGGAGTGGATGTCCGAGGGAGATGTCTGGGGTGCTTTGTCCCCGCGACCTGGCCCTGGATAAGCGGATGAAGATGGATGGACAGAATTACTGCATATAGAGGTCATTAGTTACGAGGGAAGGTAAATTCTGTGTTATTTCTAAAAAGGCACACATAGCTATATCAATTTAGTGTTGCTGTGGAACAGTGTGGCACAAGATGACTGACAAATATATGACTGTACCCATTATCACAATGATGAAAAGTAAAGAGAGGAAGAATAAAACACGATATATTTTGATAGGGCTATTTATTGTAGCCTCAACGGGCCTTCAAATCAAGCAACACAAGTCAGTTTTTAATACTCCTGGCAGAGTGAAATGAAATAACTCAGACATTTGACAGTAATTTCTTATTCCAATAGGCCAAATCAAATAAAAATGATAAACGTTTTGTACAAAAACATAAACCAAGTGAAGTTTATCCTTTGTAACCTTAACAGTTATTCACATCCTTCACATAGACTGTAAATCACCACCGTAGGCCTAATTTGTCCTTGATCATGAGGATGGAAAAATAATGTCCACATTTCCAGGAAAGCAAAGTCAAAGTGTGTGAACTGTGTGCAGTTACAGTCTAATGCTATTTAATTGATTGACTTATTCACGCCAGTTCAGTTCCTTCAGTTGCTGCTGCAAGGTCGGGTGACTAGTGATGCGCTCATCAACTGGTGGATCCTACGCCATTCTGAATAATGTTAAGTTATTAATAACTTACAGAGACATTGTGTGCAATAGTCCACCTTCGACCTTCCCTTCCCTCATAAACATAACATAAACACACACACACAAGACGGAGGGAGTGAAGGCTGCTCACATGAGCTCACATCACTACAGGTGACGTTAGATCATAAGAGGGAAAAACTCTGGGGACTAGGCTGCCTTTGTCTGCTATGTTCAAGACAAAAGTAACGAATAACGAGCCCATTTAAATTTCAGTAATTGTAACTGTTACCCATTTAAAAAAATAATTATGTCTAGTCACCAGCAAAAGTAGTGGCATAACAGTAACAAAATAACACTACTCCTAACACTGCTAGTGTGTAGGATTCAGTGCCTTCTAGTGGTTAGGTTGCAGATTGCAACCAACTGAAACTTCTCCCATGTGCCACACATGTCGCAGAACTATAGTGGCCAACACGTAAACACAAAAACTCTGTGGAAGAGGACCTGCTTCGTCTCATTCTAAGGTAACAAAAACACAACAATTCTTAGTTTGAAGTGATTATACTCTAATAAAAACATAGTTATGAATATTATATAATATTTCTGTCCATATATTTCCCTTAATCATACACACTGGACCTTTAAAGGTTTAGTTCAGATTCACATGTTCAGAGTCCCATTCATAGTCACACAATAACACACAATCTGACTTTGTCTGGCTTTGAAGAGAGCATAAATAACTTTCACTTTTCTGTCAGTTTGGACGTGCTGTCTGTTTAGGAAGCACTGAGCGTACGACTGAATAAATGAGACTTGGATTATACTGTATGAGCTTTGTGAGAGTTTGTAAACAGATGTTTAAATGCAGTCCTACTGTTGTTAAATGCGGCTGCTTATGACTTCAGTTCATGAAGAATTTTCCCAGTTTTTGGATTCTTCATTCAAAGGAGGCATGCGAAAAAAAACAATGATTTATTTACAAAATCAGCATAACACCGGGTGAGTAATTGAATTAAAGGGTGAAGTATTGTAACATAGTGAGTTTGTCTTTTGTCTGAAGGTTCAGTTTTAAGTTAGGATACCATGTTAGAAGACTTTTGGCAGTGTTCAGCTTTGAGCTTTGCCCTTCTCTTCCCTGCAGGTTCAGTGTACCGTGATGAGTTTGACCTGGCCATCCTGAAAATGCAGGAGGACAATCGTTTGGAAATCCTCAAGAGGAAGTGGTGGGATGGTGGCAAGTGTCCAAAGGAGGAGGACCACCGTGCCAAAGGTTGGTCTCCGGTTAATCCTCATCTGCTTGTTCTTCAGCTCCACTTCAGCTTGTCAGACCGTGTGTTTGGAACAGCATTTCACTTTCTTTGCCACCTTTGTCTTCCTCTACAAATCCCTCTTCCCGTCATCTCTCGCTCCCTCCCACCACATCCTGTCGTCTCCAGGTCTGGGCATGGAGAACATCGGCGGCATCTTCGTGGTGCTGGTGTGTGGCCTGCTGGTGGCTATCTTCATGGCGGTGCTGGAGTTTGTCTGGATGTTAAGACAGGCGCCAGGAAATGAGGTGAGAGAGGGCTATCTAACCTGCATCTGCTTTGTCTCCCTCTCCTCTCCCTGGCACCCTGCCCCTCGCGGAGCTGCTAGGCTTTCCCACAGTGCACAGCTTTGACAGACGTGTAGCAGGCATCTTCGTCTTCCTCTGGGTTCCACTTGACACCCAGCATTCCTGCGTCCAGCCTATGTGACATAATCAGCACAAAACCAAAGATATACCTCACTTATACCTCACTCAGAGTACCTGCATATATGATTTTCTATTTAAAGCAGTAGAAGATACATACATATATATATTTAATAGAATATTGTAATATAATATAGAAAATTGAATGTAGTCTGATCTTATTGGTGGTGAATATATGCTAACAGGGTGCTGCCAATGAGCATTTATTCATTAAAATAATTGTGGTTGTTTTCTCTTAGCCTTAATCCAGTCATCTTTTAACTTAAAAGATGCTCGGTATTTTGTGCTTATCTCTGCTCAGAATCCAGTCGTCTGAGGTCAGAAGTCATTCATTCCATTACAGGGGGGATGATGGACCGTCATGAATTAGTTGTGGAGTGTTGAACAGAATATAATTTTTTTTAAATGAAAGATTTCTACATTATAAAAAGCTACTAGAAGTATTTTTCGCTGTGAGAAGTCACACAGATAGTGTGTGATTATTATAATCCTAAAAACTGTGATGAATCAAAAAAAGATGGATCAAAACTATATATATAGAGTCATATCAATTTCAGTGTAGCTTCATCTGGGGTGGGGACTTGAAAGCAATATGAGAAGTGTGTCCAGTCTTGTCACAGACCTCCTGCTGTTTGGAGAGGCGTTTTCATCAGGCCAATTTCAGTTTTCAGGATGGAGCTCTGCTGCGCTATTCTTGAGGCGGGGATGCCGCTAACATTATAAAAATAAGTTGGTGACTTGTACATCAGAGAAAGATGTGCATGCAGTGTTATAATTATTTCTGATGTGATTCCTTTAAACGATACTTGATAATTGTCTTTTCAAATTGACTCCACACTGTGATTATAATTCAATAAACATTCAGAATGTGAAAGTCAAAAAAACTCGTGATTTCTTCTTCTTGAGCAGCATAGATTGATTCTTCACTCTAACTTGTAAACGTGTGTGTGTGTGTGTGTGTGTGTGTGTGTGTGTGTATGCATCCTTGTTGTTACATGTGCAGCATGCGTGGATCGATAATTAGCCTCTCCTGTTTTACACTTGAGCTGCAGTATCATGTCTGTCTTTGTTATTATTTGAGTTTACATACTGTAGATACCCAGTGGAGCAGTCCGTCAGCAGCCCTGGAGATAAAATGTATGTTACATGTCTGTATGTGTCTGAACAGTAAGTTAAAAATTCAAAATGGACTATATGTGTTATTTATACTGATGGTTGTTGAAGCTACACCAGCCGTCTCTCTGTTGTTCCCACTGTACACTGATTATAAAGATGAAATGTGTGTGTTATGTGTCCATGATGTTAAGTCACATCAGTTTGTCCTGATCAAGTCAGTCAGTCAGTGAGATGTCTGGCCTCTCTCCCATTCTCTCCCTCTCTTATCCCCCTCTCCCCTATCTTTTTCTCCCTGTTTGTGTGCTTTCAGCAGTCAGTGTGTGAGGAGATGCTGCGGGAGCTCCATGGGATCGTGCTGTGTCGCGACAGCCTGCAGGTGAGGCGCCGGCGGGCGGCTTTGATGCTGCGGCCGCGACCTTTGCCCCTGGAGGAGCGTCGGGCGCGAGCTGCCGCCGTCAGCCTCAGCAACGGCAAGCTGTGCGGGGGCACCGGACTGCCTGAACCCCTCTCCCACAGACTGGCACAGGAGGCTGCCCTAGTTGCGAGGGGGTGCAGCCACATCCGCATTTGCCCCGAGTGCCGGCGCTTCCAGGGACTGAGGATGCGTCCCGCGGGGGCCACTGGGACCCTCCCCTCTCCTACGCACAGTGAGGAGAGCATAGAGTGGGATAAGACCACAAATAGCAGTGAACCTGAATAACGCCCAGTGAATCTAACAGGACTGATTTCCCAGCAGCCACCTCTCTTTCCAGGGATCAAAGATCACATGGTATTTTGATTCAGCCATTTGGAGCTTGATCTTAAAGGGCAGAACAGTGCTGTGAACCTTGTTTTGCCCGAGAGGCAACAGCCAGTAGTCAGTTTTGGAGTCTCCTTGGGTGATTTTTTTTCCTTGGTGATAGGAGAAACTGATGAGTCTGTCTCATTGTGGTCTGTCCCTGTTGGCCCTCTGTACTGTGTCAGACAGGACGGACAAAAACAGCTACGGGGCATTTGTACTATGCAGTATTTTCAGTCATTTATCATTGTGCTGTTTCCTTTTTTTTCCCTTTTTAAATTATTTCTGTCCTCTGTTGGATTATCAGTACTGAATATTGTTATTCTATTGTTCTTAAAAAAAAACTTCAAACAAGTTACTTTTTTTATCTGACAATTTACTGTATGAACGTATATTGCCTCTGAAGAGCTGCAAAGATGAACAGACTAATGCAAGGTCACCCTTCAAATCCTTTTATTTTGAAAGTGCCAAAAACCATGAGTATTATCTTGTGGCTGAAGAAAGCACCACAGCCTTGAGAAGACAACAAACTCAACTGAACCTAGAAAACAAACAAACAAACAGAGACGTACAGACACACGGACTTCTTTTATAGTAGTGATATTCTATTAAAAAAATGTTTTAACTGTTGGTATCTCTGAAAGACAGCGATGCATGTCCAGAGGTGTTGGCAGATGCTCATCGAGTGATTAAGTGCTAGAGTGGTGCTGAGTAGCTGGAAGAATGAAATGATTTCCTGTTTTGAATACCTGCTTAAAACCATGGTGGCTACACAAACACAAAGACATCCATTCATTTCCTCCCTCCTATGTGTCTTGACATTACTTTCTTCTCCATCTGTCCCACATCTTTGACACATTTGTTGTCTCATCACCTCCTTTTCACGATATCTCTCTTAAAAATATACATACAGTCTCCTGTGCCGTATACACTCTTTGTAAGAGATGAGAGGTATGTTCAAGAGTGATTGAGCTTTCACAAGGACGTGCCAGAGCGTGAATGAAACCCAGCTCCAACCCAACAGATGTCCCTGGTAAAGCAAAAGTGCATTTTTTTTTTATCCGCAGTTGATTTGAATTCTTTTCAAATGTCAAGGCAGTTCAAACTTTTTGACTGAATGTGATGTTTTACAACTGCTTAGAGGAGTTTTTTTATTTCACATTAGCCGAGATGCTCTCTGACATTTTCTACTTTTATTTCTGCAAAAACCCAAACTAGTCTTAAAATATATCTTCACCAGGGGCTGTATTCACAAAGCCTCCTAGTGCTAAGAGTTCCTCTAAGTGACGAAATTCTAAGAAAATTCTTAGAGTCGTGATGTTTTCTTAGAATTTCATCTTCGACCTTAAGAGTCCCTAAGGTGAAAAACTGTGAGGAGCAGGGAGGAGGACTTTAAGAGGCTTAAGAATTTCTTACGCAGAGGAGAAAATGGTGGAAAGACAAAGAGGCAAAGACTGGATAACAGCAAGTTAATGAAATGCTACAGATTAGATTGTGCAGGGGTAATGTTTGTGGTCGATCTCATTAGGGATACGCACACACTTCCCACTTAACACTATAACAACACTTTTAGTCTCATATTGTGGTGCAGTTCGTTTCATTTCCACTGGGTGTCCACATCTTGTAGGCTCCCAAAAGGGCGTGTCTTGTGACAACCAATCACACCTGTTAAAAGAATGCATCACCTCAGTAAGGCAAATGTTTTTGTCCCTTCCTTGCTCAGAGTTGCTCTGAGAACTATCCTAAATCACTCCAAAGCTGGGAATCCTTACTAAAAATGTCTAGATTAAGTGAGGAGCTCTCTGAGATTGTTTTTCTTAAAATGTTTGTGAATACAGCCCAAGGTCTTTAAGGGACAGTTCACCCCAAAATCAAAAATCCATGTTTTCCCTCTTACCCTGTAGTGCTATGTATCAGCTGAGATTGTTTTGGTGTGAGTTACTGAGTCCTGGAGATGTCTGCCTTCTCTTTAATATAATGGAACAAGATGGCACTCGGCTTGTAGTGCTCAAAGCGCCAATGTCTCTTTCCAGAAATCATGACCCTGGTTACTCAAGATAATCCACAGACCTTGTTGTGGGCAGTTTCATGTAGGAGCTATTTTCTTTCTACCAAACTACACCCACCAACCACCAATCAGTTTGCAGAAGGAAGCGTGCATCTACTGCTAGCTCACTTAGCACCACTGAGCTAGCAAACATCATAGCTCAGCCGAAAAGGATGTCATTAATATTTACTGTCATGAGCACAAGACTCTCATCCATGAGTAGATGCACACTTCCTTCTGCACGGTAACACGTTTGGTGGGTGTCGCTTGGAAGAAAGAAAATCAAACATGAAACTGCTCACACCAATGTCTGTGGATTATCTTAAGTAACCGAGTCATGATTTCTGAAAAGAGATGAGAGGCTTGTGCTCATGACAGTAAAAATTAATGGCGGCTTTTTCGGCTGAGCTGTGACATTTGTTAGCTCAGTGGTGCTAAATGAGCTAGCAGTAGATGCACGCTTCCTTCTGCAAACTGATTGGTGAATGGGGGGTGAAGTTTGGTAGAAAGAAAATAGTTCTGCTCACAACAAGATCTGTGGATTATCTTGAGTAACTGGGTCATGATTTCTGGAAAGAGACATTGCTGTTGAGTTTTTCAAATGTGCAAGGCAGACATCTCTGCAGGCGATATCCCAACACTTGGCAACTCACACAAAAAACAATCTAAATTGATAAACAGCACTACAGGTAAGGAAAAATATGTATTTTTGTGGGGGTGAACTGTCCCTTTAATACAAACTGATCAGGAGCAGGACTGAAAGATTGAGTTCATCAGTTACAGAAAATGTAGCTTGTATTATATCAATCATCCTTCCACAAGTGAAACAATGAGGACAAACCAGCAGCAGCAGGGATCTTAGGTTACTTCCTGCACAGGCTGTGACACATCACTTAGTGTTTTCCTGCTGAACCGACCGGTTTGAAGGTGTTACTGCATGATAGCCTGACTGTTGCACAGTGGGAATCAACGGTCGTCCACCTGTCCTCACCGCTTCTTGCTTATGTCTGATGTGTCCATCATTTCAAATCTGCCCATCAGGCTCTGTCAGTCACCCTCCCTCAGAACTAGGCCACCAACTCTACACAGCTTGAAGGCACCGCTGCAGTATCGCTCTTGTACTTTTTTTTTTTTAATAGCTACATTCACTTTCTATCTTCGTCATTTTTTCATCTCCAGGTTGTCATGGTTAGAAATTCTCTTTATATGCTCTTTTAAAGTAGCAGCATGGAAATAGAGTGAATGTTGAAATGAGGTGTTTGACCTATTGATCATTCACCATCTTTTTGTTTCATCGTTTTCTGCATGATTGTCAATATGTCACACCACACAGATTGTGGTAAAACTCTCCATTCCAATCCAGTCTCTCTGTGACACTATAAGAAGCCAACATACATCTTGGCAAGTTCTTGAATGGTCCGGCAACAATCCTCCCATTTAAATTGTTATCAGATAAACAAAAGACAGAAGAAACTAATGAAGGTAACAGTCAAAACTATGAAAAAATGTCCATAAATCTGAGATAGCAGGCTGTTATATAGAGAGTACAACCCCTTAAAAGAAAAAAGCTTAAATTAGTTAGCCCTGGAAAAATATGCCTGACAATTCGGCACCCCCTTTGCATTTGGATACCTCTCCAAGTCTGCATATAAAAGAACGTGGGCCTAAAAGCCTTAAAAAATGAGCCCACTCTAGAGTCACCATCTCTCTACCAGTGGAAATTGTGATAATTCATGGAGAAATAACAAATACTGAGGCAACGTTTTCATTCTATAATAACAAATTACCTTGAAAAGTATTTCATCATAATTAGTATCCTGCATTTGTAAATCATTATGTCAAATCGTGATATAAACATGTAGTTTGGATTTTAGTCATATGTGAGTGATCATGCTGTCGCCTTGTTGTTGAATCATTCTGTCATTTGCTTTATTTTTCACCCGCACAGATATGAGTTCACCCACACTGCCTCAACTATACTTTTCAAGCACCTGTTGTTGCATTAATGGCTGTAGTTGGTATGCTGTTTCAGAACGTGTGAAACTGTGGCAAATCAGCCTGCTGACAGACCTGGAGCGAACTGCAGCACATTTGTACTAATACAGAGTTTTCAGTGAATTGATGGTTCTGAACATTTGGGTTCAGACCCCAGACACACACAGACTTTTTCAACGTCAGTTCAATCAGTTGCTGAGAAGTGTTTCAGGACTTCAGGTGGCATTTCAATTCAGGTCTGCAGCGTGTCTAAACTCCCACAAGAACACGTCAGCGTTTGAAACAGCGTCGAATCTGCTTGATTTGGCACCAGATAGAAATGAACGGCAGTCGCAGAGGCATTTTGTTATCATCTGCTGGAGCGCCAATAGTGCCAATGCACCTAATCCTCAAGTAATGAACTATTAATGTCCTCCAGACGGTGTGTAAATACAGTGTGATCAACAGGGTTCCCCAGTAATGGTCCAAAGTGTTGTTTTTTTTATTGCAGCAGTAACAAGTTGCTCGTGTTAATAGAACAGAGAGATACAGACCTACATGTGTGTTATGTTTATATGGACACATCATGACATTTAGACACAGAGCGTAATGGTGGGAAAAAAAATCTTCACATACAGTCAATGTTTCTATATTTCTTTATATAATAACTTGTTGAGCAAATAGCAAAGAAAAAACAGACCCACATTTCATTACCAGAAGTTTCTATCCATTTGCTGAACATCACTAAGAAACTCATGAGAGAATGGAGGCTCATGCTGCACCCGATGCTAACTCCTTAAACACTAAAAACATTTACAGGGGTGCTAAATCAAGCGTAGTTGGAATGAGATTGCCAATTACCTTGAAGGCATGGAGAGCAGTAGAGTAAGAATTAAAACAAATCCCACTGAAACACTGGGCGACCTTCTCTGGGCAACCACTGAGAGAGACGGCAGGGTTTGGCTGCCATATTTTATATGCTTTATTTTCTTATGTTGACATTTTTATTCCATTATAAATACATTTCTTAAAACAACCTCCGCTCTGAGGGGTTTCTGGTTTCGTCTCTTCTTTACTCTGATGTATTTGACCTTCTGAGCTGTTTAGATCTGTCATGCTAAATAGCGTCTGAGTGCACTTTGTTTTTCTAGTTTTTATTATTCATCCAGGAGAAATATTCAAACAGTGCACTTGGTTTGTTGTGACATAATACGCATGCGGGGGAAGCGGCATGAGGATGTATGGGTTTCTGGCTGAGTAAACATGACGACTGTTGAGTGAACCAGAAGGAGCTCGTGCATCTACCTCTTGTTTATCTCCCATAACTGAATTAACGTCTGCACACTTGTGAATTCGACGAACAGCTGAGAATTGGCGTGGGTGGGAAGTCTAACGGAGGCTAATGAGTTTAACAACTCACTCATGTGCTATATCCGCTCACCTGTAGTCCATCTATCACTGTGATTTTCAGTGGATATTTTCTCTCTCCTCAGGACAGTGAGTGAACACACATAATAACCTGCATCTGATTTACAGTTTAATTCAGGCTGCCTCTCCTCTCCTCTCCTCTCTTCTCTTGAGTGCCTGTCTCCCAATCTTCCCACTGCGGCATTAGAGCTGACAAGTTTCCCTTCAGTGCGTCACCAACCTGCATGTCATAGTGCATATCCTCAGCACCCACACCCACACAGCTCTTACAAGAGTGACACACGCGCGTAAACACTCAAACCGCCACCTGTATGTCACTGCTGTGTCAAGTTTATCTCATCGGGCTCACGCTTCCTTCCTCTGCCTCTGGTGCTCCAGGTCCATAAATTCAGTGCATCTCTACCCACCACTGCCTAGCTGCTGTTGGATTTATGGAGCCCATGATGAGCACTGAGTGCCTGCAGAGGTGTGTGAAAATCTACTTCACTCCTCAAGCTTACCCAGTTGTAGCACATAGCAATACCAATTTCCTTGTAGTTGATTGTAATTCTGCAAGGATTTAGGAATTATAGTGTACTGAGGCTGATGCATTTTGCCACGCTAGCAGCTCACATCCCGTACACTTGAAGAGCGACTTTCTTATCAGCCCATTCTGTGTAAATAATTTTTTTCCTCACAGAAAATTCACATTTTTAAGCCTCACAGTCCATCTCTAGAAACCAAAACATGAAACCTGTGATATTTAGAATTTTTGTTAATATTCGGGGTCTATAACTTTGCATTCAGTACAATTTCATTGGTCACAACACCAACTGTGAAATCTATTCATCACATTGCTACTGCATCCCTGCACTGTCAAACAATGTCCTTCCCCTCTCCTCCTCCTCCTCTTCCCAGACTTCCCAAGGTTAACAGCACACGTGTACATCCGCCCCATAACAGCCGCTAATGAGCACTTGATCTGAGGATGCCAAGTGAAAGACATAACCGACCATCAGTGGAAACTACCTAATTCACAGTGAGACTGGTGCACATTTTTAAGTGAGAGCTTTCCTATTGATTTGCTGGCAATTAATTGCAAAAGGCTTGTTGCTGTTGTTGTTGTCCTGTGCTCAAAGAAAAGGTATTCAGACTGCGAGAATTCTCTCCAAGGTGAGATGCTGTCAAGGCTGTTAGACAGCCTTTTGTTCGCTGACAGTTGTTGTTGAACATATTGACCAAAACATCTTGGCATTGTTTGTCTTTCAGAGAAATAAAATGGAGCTTCATTTATTTCATGTTTCGTTCCCTCACTATTCATTCCTGCCTTGATCGATGGCTCACAGATGGGGAAGCATTGATTGCCTAGTTTTGTTTGTGTGTGAGTGTGTGTGTGTGTGTGTGTGTGTGTGTGTGTGTGGGTGGGTGTATTTGTATGTGATCTCTCTCATGCACTTGCCTCCATGGAAATTACAGTGTGTGCATCTTGATTCATCAGCTGGAGGCCGTCTCGTTGTGTTACCCAAAAGCTGAACAGACGCAGCAGACGGCCAAGTCAAATTCCAGTGGAAGTGCAGCAGCCAGCACTCATTGTCAGGTATTCATCAGAATAAATGAAAGCAGCCCGCTTTTATCGCGGAAATCGATCACTTGGGTACCATATAACAGAGCCACATCAACTCTTTAGAAATTTTTACTCTCACAAAACTCAGTTGTGTTTAATGTTTGTACGAAAAGACTGTGTTGACCTTGGATTAAAGTTTCAAAGATTGAAGTGTCCAAAGACATCAGTCACTCTCCGTAATGACTCCACTTTTTTATAAAGCACCATCTGTCTTTGAGTAAATGCATTGATGACAGCAACATTAGAGGGTTAGAAGCAGTCCATTAATCACCATGGACACTGTTTTGCTCACGGTGCACTTGATTAATGATTAGTTGGTAAACCTGTAGATAAAAGGTGTATACACATCAGGTACATAGTTACTGGGTGTATACTTCTACCAGACAGGGAAAGTAACTAAATCTAAAGTATTCTGCTTTAATGCTACTTTATGCTAATACTCTGCTGCATTTCAGAGGGAATATTGTACTTTCTACTGTACTTTGGTTTGTTCCCCCTTACAAGAGAGCAGTAATTTGGGTGCCTTGAAATGTCTCAGATAGCTTTGAGCTGGTAGAAGTTCCAACAAATGGACATTTCCCACAGTTTCATTTAAATCACTGGTTCCCCGGGGTCCCGACGTCCACCAGGGGTCGCCAAAGCTTAACAGGGGGTTTTGAGGCCTTCTTGATTTTATGAGATGCAAGAAAACTTTTTTATTTCAAAATATCTTATGAAGGTTTTCAAAAAAGGAAAAACAATCAGAAAAAAAGATAATGCCAGGGTTGGACAGAAACATTCCACAGCGCCACACGAGTGTGCAGAGCAAACAGAAGTAGACATGACCCTGAGGCAATTACAGTAATACCTTATATGATACAACAGCCCTTCCCTCCCATCCATCCTCCTATCCCCAATGTACTTCTTCCTTTAAATATTTCTAAGGCACAATGTCTAGAATTTAATATGCAGAGTAGCAACATCAATGAAGTCAGGTTTGACTTTTTTTTTAATTATTCTATTTCTTTTTTTATGTCAAGAGCTGGATTTAAACACAGAAAACATAATGTTCAAATCCAGACATGCAGGTTAACTGGTGACTCTAAATTGTCCTTAGGTGTGAATGTGAGTGTGAATAGTTGTCTGTCTCTGTGTGTCAGCCCTGTGATAGTCTGGTGACCTGTCAAGGGTGTACCCTGCCTCCCACACAATATCAACTAGGATAGGCTCCAGCCCCCCTGTGACCCCTAACAGGATAGGATAGAATAGAATAATCTTTATTGTCATTGCACAAACAATGAAATTCTGTTGAAGCAGTCCTCCAGTTGCCCAGGCTTATAAATACAAAGATAAAATAAGTAAAAACAAGAGACATATATACAATAGGGCACAATTATCAAGACTGTAAAATATAAAATATAAAAACTTGTGCAAGAAAGTCCAGTCCTTAAAGTGTCATTAGTGCTGTGATAAGTGGTTACCGAAAATGAATGAATGAATACATACATATATATAGCAGGCCTATATCTCAGCATTTCATTTCTGTGAGGACAACTAAATGAAATTGTGATTTTTAAAGATTATATTACTATTAAAGACACAACCTCACAGGAGAAGGACATGGTGACCTGAACACAAGCTATATTCAAAGAGACTTCACTCTCTGCTAAACAGCCTCGTCCTGCAGTTTAAATAACCAAAGATCTAACAGAACAATGACCAAGCCTCAGGGAGAAGAAAACACTAAATTGGTCAAGGAAAGAGTGTATTAAGTATGTATGATTGTTAAAAATGGAAAAAACATAATACAGACAGAGCATTGGATAAAGAATTCCTTAAATATCAGGGAAACTCATCTCTAAAGCAATACTCACAGGAAATAATCTGCTGAAAATTCATTCAAATCGCTTAGCTTACACAAACTTCCTGCAGCCATTGCATTCACTACTTGGGTTAATTGCACCGTTTATCAGTTTTTCTGTTCTGTAATTGTTATTCATTGAATGTAATATAAAATATCAATATAATATGTCACTTAATCAGGGACTATGTGTTTACTAAATGATAGAGAAGGGTTCCCGTAGGACACCAGTGATTTAAATAGCTGTTTAAAGCCCAAAAAGCCAAGATTAGAGAAAATTAGCACTAGCAGGACTTTGTTTACACTCACATTCACACCTACGGCCAATTTAGAGTCACCAATTAACCTGCATGTCTTAGGATTATGGGAGGAAGCCGGAGTACCCACGCTTGACACAGGGAGAACATGCAAACTCTGCACAGAGGGGCTCCCACAACAGGAACCCTCTTGTTGTGAGGCGACAATGCTAACCACCGCACCATCGTGCAGTTGTCTGTCTCGCTTGCTGTGTCTCAAATCGCGTACTTCTGTACCTACACTTAATATTTTGAGTGCATAAGTGCATTCACACTGAGAAGTATGGAAAAATGCAGTGCACTATGAGTACCTGGATGGTGCACTCAAAACGGTCAAGAAGTTGAGTGTGGAACTATGGACACTTCTCGACCTCAATGGTCGCGGTACGTAGCGGAAGGGGAGGGACCACTTTCAAACTGGAAATAGCGGCCGAGGACTGTGCGACCGTGAACGTCGCTGCATTGTACAAATACATGTGTTTTTTGCAGTAAGCACCACTATACTGTTGATATAAGCCAGCAGTATGTTTATTGGGTTAATTTAGCAGTCTGCCATGATTTGTTACCGCGAACGATAACACGAATACTAATGCTAGTTTGCTAATGAGCTAATTTGCGGTTGTCATTTCCGGTGAGTGCACAATGGCCATGTTTGGTTTGAGACAACACTACCCTGTCGAAATCTGCCCAATACGCCAATAAGTACATAGTGCTCATAGTATACTACATGGAAGTATACTAACGGAAGTATGCTATGTGATTTGAGACACAGTGTATGTGTCAGTCCTGTGGTAGTCTGGTGACCTGTCCAGGGTGTACCCTGCCTTTCGCCCAGTGTCAGCTGGGATAGACTCCAGCCCCCCTGTGGCCCCTAACAGGATAGGCAGTTATAGATAATGAGTGAATGGATAAGGACTTTGTTAATTCTTTGTTTTTACCCAACAATCATCTCATTACCCCTTAGAATTATCTTGGGGCCCCTGCTGAGTGGGACCGACCCTCAGGTTGGAAACCACTGAATTAAAACACCTGTGTAACTGTATATAAAGTAGTTTAAACTAGCCCCACCTTAACCAACTACAGCCATAGAAAGCTACATGTGCATTGATGCATTGATACATGTGCAATTGAATAATGCCATATAACAATATATCAGTCACAGGGGTCATTTTCCTGCAGAACAAGTACTCTTACTTTTGATACTTGAAATAAATTTGGCTAATAATACTACTGTACTTAACTAGAAATTAAATTCAGGACTTCTACCTGTAATGGGGTATTTTTCACTGCTGTACTGATACTTTTTCTTAAGTACTTACTGCGTACTATTTTCCACCAAAAGCTATTTTTATTGTAACTTTTCCATAAGGGAAATACTGCTATAAGATACACTGCTAATAATGTGTTCCCACACTAACAGGTGCACTGTGCTTATCTTTTTTTTTTCTTTAGCACTGGGACGACTGCAGTCAACCCCATTAAACCCTAAACAAACAGAAACACACACCCTCTGAGGGCAGCAGCTCCTTGTGGTTTGAGGAAAAAATATTGGTTTTCAGATAAAGGCCTCTTGAGCTCCTGTGTTAATTGGTCATTAGATCACAGAATTATCTTCATCCCCGAGTAAATGATTCATTACCTCACAGATGAGAGGCTTAAAAAAACTGCACTGGGCCATGAAGAAGACACAAAAGATGACAGCCTGGGAAGTAAAATCTGTTCATCTGGCTCCCCGCAGGGGGACGTCAGGTTTTATCGATGCTGGGCAGCTAACTCATATTTCTTGCATCATTAACCGTTATTTTGCCTTTCTCTTGTTATTGTCTATTGTTAGTCATTTACTTTTTTAGTACTTTCCTTTCTCGTTGTTTCTGTTTTGTCATAGTTGAAGCTTGAATAAAAACACTGCAGTGTTGTAGTACAGCCTCTTACGTCTCTGTGGTTCATGTGGCCAGCTTCACCTGACGCTCACTTGCCTGTGATCACATTTGGTCTCTAGTGGTCTGACACAGCATAAATACAGCCTGAGAATTTTGTCCCTACATTGCCGTCTTTGCTAACACGCCCACCTGTTGTAAGATCAAAGTAGTCTTTACTGTTGTACATGCACAGCACTGTGTACTCTCACCCAGAGTCATTCATTACATACCATGTTAGTGTAATTATCATACTTTTATTGGACTTGAGAAATATCCTGTCACCAAAACAACAATGTATTTACACATATAAAATATTCTAAAAAAAAATAAAAAAAAGTCTGTGTATTTGAGATATAGTGGCCATCATCTCCCCCGACTGTAAACAGTCATTTGCTACATCTAGTGGGCATTACACAACATTACAGACACTACATGGTGAGCTACTGAATACATGCATAGGTGAGTCGGTCTGCTTTGTGCTCTGAAGGTAAAACATTATATAATAAGAACATCCATCGGTGTGTTAGGCGTACTAAATTGTGAATTGCGTATTGGTGCCATTGCAGATATCACTTTCAATTCTGCCAAACAGATGCAACAGTCTGATCAAACTGAAACAAGTTGTAGATGCAACATTAAATAAATGTGTCCCACTGAGAAGAGCAGCTGCTTTCATTTGTCTTCTAGATGTGCTGTGCATTCAGACCGAACTCAGAGAGCAGCTCCTTGTAATTTTGATGAAGGGTCGTGCTCTTGTCCTCCCATCCCTGTCGAGCCACAGACAGCTGGGAAGTCAGGCTGTCTAGAGTCTCCTGCAGAAAAAACATTAGTAAAAATGACATGCAAGCTAAAATCACCCAGTTGTCTAATCTGATATCCCTCTCCTCTTAACCACCTTTAAGTCTGATGAGTTTTAGGAGTGGAGCTGATGGAGATGAGGCATAATTAGATTCTGTGTCATAGTGGGAAGGAGAGAAATAGTGATAATTGCTTATTAAAATTCTGGCTCTATAATCACAGGCTGAGCCCTCTAACAGGGCTCCAGGCTTGACCACTTATCTTTGAAGATCTGCATACTGAAAATTTGCATCTACTGTCTGCGCTCAGCCAACTGGACTGTACCTATAAAATGTCGATACTGACTGCATCCCTCATCCATTACGTCCTAACAGAAGGTTCTACTATTTCACAACCTGAGTCTTATTGTTCCTGTTTGAAGTATTATACTGTCCCTATCGGTTAACATAACATTGTATTACATTATTGTCAGTGTTTGGGAAGCCACTTTGAAAGCATAGCTTAACATAGCAGAACTATCATAGGGAGAAATCTTGTTTAGTTGATTTAAACCACTTAAAGAATAGTTGAAACTACTTTGTAAAAAGAGATCAAAGTGATAATGATAATGTGAATGTGATGATAATGTGAATATGATATGAAATTATAGCAAAATATAATACAAAAAAGTCACATACCAGCATAAAATGACACTTAATTGAGTTTATTACAAGAAGTGGCATCTTGTTCTCTGGTCTTACGTAAACCAAAAAAATACAACAGCCCACTATTCATGAGAAAGTGCAGGAATGTCAGCTTTGGTTTTGTAGACAATGTCCATCACTCAGACACCTGCCCTCAGACACTAGAGTCCAGGTGGGGGTAGCCAGGTCTGTTCTACAATAGCATGTAGCAACTTCTCTTAACATCTGTTAATAAATAGCAATAATCAATACCTCTGACTAATGAACACCTAAACTATTATGGTTTAGTTTTTATAAACTCTATTAGACAAATGCATTCCTCGAGCATGTCTTCACAGCGATAAGGAAAAAAGAAACAGTGGGCAGGGCTGATCAAAGGTGGCTCACTTACAGGACAGAATCAAAACTTAAATGAAAATGAAACATAATTCCTTTACTTTAAAAACCCCAAATTGTTTGTAGCACTGGTGTAAGGTAGTTACCACAGGCCCCCTGCACACGCTATTGTGACAGGCCCTACTGTAAGCTATTTACTAGTTATTAGGTGCCAACACTCACCTCTGGCAACTGTTTATAAAAAAGCCAAAGGAATCTAATTGTAGGAGTGCTGCTACTATTTCCTCCTGTCCATTTCTCTCTTGTCCTTATTTACTGCTGCTTTTATCTTTAAAAGGCATGGCTGCACCCTGGACTTGTGGATGTGCTCAGTTTGTCAGTCTTGACAGATTTTGCACCTAAATCAGCTACTGCATTGTATCATATCGTACCGTACTGTATCGTATCGTATGGTACTGTATCATACCGTACCGTACCATACAGTACCGTACCGTATCGCATCGCACCATACCGTATCGTATCGTACTGTACCGTACCGTATCGTACCGTATCATACTGTATCATACCGTACCGTATCGTACCATGTCATATCGTACCATGTCATACCGTACCGTACTGTACCGTACCGTATCATACCGTACCGTATTGTACCATGTCATACCGTATCGTATCGCACCATACCGTATCGTATCGTACCGTATCGTACCGTATCATACTGTATCATACTGTATCATACCGTACCGTATCGTACCATGTCATATCGTACCATGTCATACCGTACCGTACTGTACTGTACTGTATCATACCGTATCGTATTGTACCATGTCATACCGTATCGTATCGCATCATACCGTATCGTATCGTATCGTACTGTACCGTACCGTATCATATCGTATCGTATCGTATCGTATCATACCACGTCATACCGTACCATACCGTATCGTATTGTATCGTATCGTACTGTATCGGCACATGATCAAATACAGACTTGACACAAGCCAACATCCATTTACATGTTACCCAACAACCTACTGCATACCTGTGTATGACCAAAATATCAAACAAAATAAAAAAGTATTATTTTACTAGAATAGTGTTATGTAGAATAAGCATAATAAGCATATAATTTTGTTATAGATTGCTACTCACTATTTAACAAAAAAAAAGAAGAAAAGAAATGAAAATCACGACAGAGATGGGTTTGTATTTTTGAGGGCATATAGCCCATAGCAAATGGCACCATTTTCAATTTAACTTTTAAAAAAGTTAGTTGAATCACTATGCAGATATGAATGTAGTTGAACTACTAGTAAGCTACTGCAAGATATAGTTCAGCTACTAGTTTAATTCCATGTAGTTCACTACTCCTCAACACTGATCATTGTGAATACTGTGAATTTGAGAACAGCTCTACAACAGAGTGGACCAAGGAAAGTATGACCTGAACACCCTTCTGTGCTTCATTTTGAATCATCACTTCTCATTTTACTGTTTCGCAGTCATGCTGGTGGGATAACTTACATTTCACTGTAAACAAAACAGCGGTGTGCATCCAGGTTAACCTGTAGATTGATGTTCTGTTGCTCTACAACACCAAAAACGTCCTAACAAGTTATTGGAGTACTAACGTTTCATGTTCACCTTTGCTTAGGCATCCAAACACCTGCTTTTAACCATGTAGGATTGTAGACAGCAACTGTTTCCATCAGGATTGTCCCATTACTCTACAAACAAAAAGTCTTCTCATTATAATAATTTGCAAGTTGGTATATGGTAATCATATAAAAATTCTATGCATGTGGTGGCTTTATTATGACAACGACAAGTCACATCGTATAAGTGGTCTCAGACTGGTGCTATTTTAGACCATGTCCTATGCTCTGCATATGCAATCGAGTAGACACAAAATAATACCAAACTACATTAAGTCACTGTAGAACAGAGGGGATGGAGACAATGCTGCCCTTTAACAGGGACACAGCTTCACAGGGTGCACACAGCTGTACATGCAGGTTTACAGTGCATGGGGTCTCAAAAGATGGCTGGTCAACCCTACAGAGGCCTGTAAGTGGCTTGAGTTGCAACTCACATGTAGGATCTTCTCATAGTCTCTTTCCATGTTGTCCAGCTTGTGTTGGAGGTCAGCTATGGTGGTGTCCTTCTCCCGCTCCACCTGCTCACGCTCTCTTTTCTCTTTCCTCAGTTCCTCCTGACACAGCACTGGACAGACAAATGCATACAAGCCTGCCATCACTTTAAATTTTGGGAGCTAACTCAGTCCCATCTGTATTCATCGAGGTACACACATTAAGATGAGATGTATTCATACCTAGCTCTTCCTTCAGCTGGCCGACCTCCTCCTCCAGCCTCATCACCTTGCTGCCCAGCTCTGTCTGCATGGTTTTGTACTGCCGACTGAGGTCTAGAATGACATTTGTGTCAGAGATGTCAGACTTAGCTTTCATTGCTGATTCACTTTGTAAGGCTAATGCAGCAATCAGCTTAGGCACCCAGCTAATTAGACTTTTTGTTCCTCAAGAATTACCCTAACCATGGCAAACACGCCCCTTGTCCTCGCTCCCAAAGGGATCCACGCTTTATCTCAGGTTATTAAAAGGGAGGCTAATTGTTGATTCATGCCCCGTCTGTACCATACCAGAGTTGACGTCCCTGTGGTCTTGTCTCTCGCGCTGCAGCTTCTGCTCCGTGTCTCTCACGCGTCTCCTCAGGTCAGCTCGATCAGACTGGACCTTTTTTACAGATTCACACTGGAAGGCTGTGATAATCACACAAACACATGAATGAATGTACACACCAGTCATCTTTTTTTTTCTTTATAAGAAAGCGGTAACCTTTTGTAAAAATTCTCCAATGACAATTCTGTTGTCACTAAATTAATATGGTAAACTGAAGCCTTATTAATACATCATGCTCAAGTATGCCATTATAAATCTACATAGCATTAGGTGGTGCAGATTGTGCAAGACCAGCTTTCACTGGAAGGTAAAGTATTTAGATCACTTTCCCTGAAGTCCTGCATTCAAAATCTTACCAAAGTAAAAGTAGCCTATGTAAATATCATCAGCAAAATATACTCAAGTTAAACCACTGATGCAGAAACACGGCCATTTTGACCAGACTACATGACTGGATCAACAAATGCATATTTCACTGTTGTTCCTAAGCAAGGTGGAGCTGGTTTTAACTTTGTGATAACAATGTGATCTACAACAATGCATTTTTTAATTGATCAAATGGTGAAGGCGTAGATTTCGGGGGACGCAGGGGACACCGCCCTCTAAATATAAACATGAATGTAGCAGAGGACTTTCATTTTGACTATATTAAAGACATTTACATCATAAATTGATGCAGAAAAGGCACACATTGATGCATTAATATTCACCAGACTGCAGGAAATTAAGCGTATCACGCTCACAATTTTCTCTCGGAGGACCCCAAACCCCTTGTTTCATGTGTATGCATCCCCTGTTTTGCAACAATACCTACACCCTTGTCAGACACTAAGTTGTGTACAAAAAAAGCACAATATTCCCCCTGAAATGTGCTGGAGTAGAGGTAGAAAGGAGCACATAATAGAAATACTTACAGTACAAGTACCTCGAAATCACGCTGAAGCACAGGACTTAGGTAAATTGATTTAGTTACTGCACTTATCACATCTGCTAGCTACAAAAACATAATCTGAGAAGTAAGCAATAACTACACCATCAGATGACTTGAGTTCAGAAAAGAACATTTTTCCCTCTTTGAAACTTGAGTCTCAGTATGTGGTCTCGCAAAATGGAAATATCAGAGAAGAGTGCCAGACGGCCACCCACTTAACTGAGTAAATGTACTTAGTTTCACAGCACATACTGACAGATAGTGTAAAGAAATGGAACATGGCAGTGTTATAATGATTTGTCAACACCAACTATTCTTTTAAGAACTAAGTAATTTTGTAAGGCCGGTATAAAACAAAATGTTTGTTTAATAAATGTGAGAATTTTCTGTTTTCCTGTTTTAGATTGTTGCGAAATCTTTGAGTTTTGGACTGAGCTCTGAGAAATTGTAAACGGCATATTTCACCATTTTATGACATGAAATGGACTAAATGATTAATCTATTATTTAAAAAAATAATCAACAGATTGCTCGATAATGAAAACAATTAATTGCAGGCCTTTGGACACACATCAGGCATTAGTACAGTGTAGACATAATAGAGTATAGATCTGTACTCTTAAGATTTTAATAGGAGTGTTACCTGTTTTTTTATACAAGATAGCTTAGCTACAATCACTTTGCCCCCTGGAGGTAATATTGGGGAGAGCAGGGTTGGTTGGCGCACAGCCATTTTCTGGTCATTTGAAGGTCACAGAAACAAAGTTTGCTCTCCTGACCTGCACTCATCTACTGTGTTAAAACATCTGAAAGTCACTAACTTTTTTGGTGAGGGTGACATTTCAGTTTTACAGCATCGAAAGTAAGAAGGTGGTCTGCAGACTTAACATACTCAACAAACAGTGTTTGATAGAAATTTCATTTCATATATTATACGTATATTATAAGTAACATTATAGTTATAGTTAAATGGGCCTGACTCAGTTTAAAAGTGCAGCAGGTTCCTGTTCTGCAGCACATATAGACATGACAAAAACACAACCGGACAGTCACATTCTCAAGACATTAATCACAATCACAACCACAAGACATTAACTTAGTCTAGTACGGACAGTTATAAAACAGTACAAGCATAGACAGTCAGTGATTGTAGGTGTAACTGCTGAAAAGAAACTGTTTGTATACCTTTTTAAATTGTGTCTGATATGTTGGGGGATATCCTTCCATATTTTGGTGTATGTATGAAAGACGGACCTCTGCCAATAATTATGTTTGTAAGCATGCACTGGAAGAAGTGCCACTAAGACAGATCAAGTGACATGCCATTGAGGTGTGTTGTGTGTCGGAAGAAGGGCAGTAAGTGTTGGTGAGGTGCTGTTTTGAATCTGAAAATAGAATGCAAGAGCTTGGCTGTATATGTAGTTTTGGAAATGTTGGAAATGTGCTACCTGTTGTTAATAGACAAAGAAATCAACTACATTTTAATGTAAGATGTAAAAGTGTGGGATGAGTGATTGCAGCTGGTTTACATGATTTCATCAGAAAGTTGGGTCAAATGTGAGTGTGGTTGGTTGTTACATGGGCCAACCTACTGTAAAATGAAGAGTTGTAACTTTTTTTGATGGATTAAAACTAATTTGAAACTCTAAAAACCTATATTGTTCATTAATTGTTAGTATGAATGGTCAGTGACAAAAGTAATGTGACATTTACACTGAGGAAGGACTGGTTCTTGCTTAAATTAAATGTTCAAACTGTATCTATTGGTTGCTTCATTTTGTTTTAACTATAGCATTATAGCATTGCCCTGTGATAGTCTGGTGACCTGTCCAGGGTGTGTCCTGCCTTTCGCCCAGTGTCAGCTGGGATAGGCTCCAGCCCTCTTCCTTTTTACCCCAGCAATCATCTCATTACCCCTTAGAGTTATCTTGGGGCCCCTTTGGAGGGAGACTGACCCTCAGGTTGGAAACCACTGGATTAAAACACCTGTATAACTGTATATAAAGTAGTTTAAACTAGCCCCACCATAACCAGCTACAGCCATAAAATGCTATATGTGCATTGATGCATTGATACGTGTGCAATCTAATAATGCCATAATGCCCCCGGCAACCCCTAACAGGCTAAGTGCTTATGGAAAATGAATGAATTAATTAATTTTAACATTGTGCCAGCTGCACAAATGCGCAACATGACTTTAATCAAGTACTACCTAATTAAATAAATAAATAATGTGTACATTAAAACATTTTATTCCTGAGACCATAGCCTTTCATTTGCTGCTTTCTAGAGTATTCAAACATAACTTATGCCAAAGAAATACACCAGAGAAATAAAAGTGTGCCAATAATTAACCTCAGACCGCCCTTAAGTACTATGTGAATAAAAAAGATCTGTGATTAGTGTATATGTAGTTTAGCCTAAGTATCAATTTGAAATTGCTGCTCACCAATGTGATCCTGTAGGATGGCTACATCCAGAATACTGCGCCTATACTTTGCTTCCAAGTCATTTTCACCTGCAACAAGACAATAATAGTTATAAAATGCATAATTTAGCATCACAAAAGGCAAACAATTCAATAATCTCATGAGCAGATTTACTGTTCTCTGGCTTCTTCTTTGTGGTCTTTTTTGTTTTCTTCTTTGGAGGCATGTTTGCTTGCTGTGAAGCTGCCCGCTCAGACCTTTGAGCACACTAACTATACACTAACGACATACAGGGATGGGTCTTTGTTGCTGGGCACTGGTTGCTGAGTGAGTTGCCATGGCACTAGCTGTCCAGCTTGATTGATAGCTGATTGACTTTAATTACAGCCAATCACAACCCTGACTGGGGCGCTGGTGCCTTCTGAGCTCACGGACACTGGCCGTGTGATTGGATCGTTACTTTTACTGAGACGTGTCAAAGCGTCCTTTGTTGTCAGGGGTGACCGAGGCCCGCGCGGAGGGAATCCAGGGCTGCATTCAGCATCCCTTTAACGTTTTATGAATGCTGCACATGCAGAGGCGCGCGCCCAGCTACATTCATGGCTCGTGGACGCGCACAAGGAAGGCGTGGAGTTTGAGTTGGAGGGAGGGGGGCAACGGAAGGGGACGTACAGGAAAGGAAAGGGCCGCACATACACGTCACGGGGAGAATAGAAAAACACTGGGAAATGTGTAATTCCCACAATTATTTATTCACCTCTGTTCTAGCTTATGTTCGTGAAGCTTTCGTAGTTTTAAGCGCAACTTGGTGTCCTCAGTCATCGGTGAGTGCTGTGTGTCGTCAGCCCGCAGAGGAGGGCTGACACTGTCACACAGCCGCTGAACTTCCCGTCAAGACACAGCACAGGCGAAAAGAGCTGCTGCTGCTTGTGCTGCTGCTGACAAAAAAGGGGAACGACATCGGGAATTGTCAAGAGGAGAGGACACACTCCAGTCCTCAAGGCGTTTGGGCAGAGACACGGTGCCATTGTCCTCCAGCTGAGGGCGAGCAGAGACAGGTCTGGTGCTCTGCTAATTAGCCTGCGTGGGTCCCTGCAGAGAGACAGAGCAGCGCAGCTAGCTGCAGCACACAGCGACTTGCACAGGGTGTGAGTGACCGACGTGGTTGTGTTAGCCAGAACTGGGATATTTATCTGACAAACTGGTGCTGGGTTCACTCATGGGAGCCTTTATCCGATAGTCATCCCTCCCTCCCTATACCCCCCGTCGGACCCTGGCTTGGATCCGCCACCCGGGCTCTGTCCTCGTCGGGGGGTGCCGGATCACCATCGCCCGGTCCAGCTAACTCCAGGCGGCGGTTCGGTACCCCTGACCCCTGCCCTGCGTCGCCTGTCTGCCGCTCTGGCCGACCCTAGCCGAGCCCGAACATGGCAGGGAACCTGAAGAAAGGCGGGGGGCTCATCGGTATGATGAAGGATGCCTTCCAGCCACACCATCACCACCTCCACTCCCATCACCAGCCCGGGGCCGTGGACAAAAAGACGGTGGAGAAATGTTGGAAACTAATGGACAAGGTTCGTCAGTTAATTACCAACGTTCACTAGCCGGTAACGTTAGCTAGCGCAGTTGATGACTGTGGGGATGCTAGCTAACCGCAGCTAACTAACGATAAGCTAGCTAATCTTCGCCTGCTGCAGGTCTGCCGTTGCTAACGTTAAGTTAGCTAGTCAGCTGGGAGAAGACATGGTTAGCTAACATTAGCTAAATTGCTAACCTAAGCTGTGTTGTTTTGTGCCGTATGTGCCGGTGTCCCGACTTCTTCGTCTCAATTTAAAAGACAGACTTTTAGTGAAAGTAGCTTAACGTCAACGTTAGCTCACGGACAGAACAAGGGTGTCTTTAACACATCTGTTTGCTACTGCTGTGCTACTCTTTTAAACTAGTTGTCACACAATGGTGCATCTAGCTGGTTTGACCACGTTTGAGTACTATGGTGTATCGTAAACAGTAGCTTTAACAAAGAAGAAAGAGTGGACGTAAAGACAGGATTGAATATAGCTAATTTATGTCAGGGAGGCTGCTAGCACAGCAACAGTTCTCCTGTACATTGTTGCTGAAATGTCTTCAGTCAACTGTCTGTCAGCCTTTAAAGTTGTAACAAAGCATTAAGGAGAAAAGAAAAGAAACGTGTCTGTTTAACTAGGCCAATTATGCTCTTTCACAGGGGAGACTCGTTTCACAGCTTCACTACTCGGAAAAAAAGTCTGTAGCAGTTTGACCCCCAGTTTCCTGTGAGATTCACACAGCAATATTAGAGTGAATAAGAAGACAAGACACTCTTTTGTGTCTCCTCTTCCTCTTTGAGGCCTTAGTCCAGAGCTCTGATGTTAAGGGACCAAGTCCTTTTACAAAGCTATTATTAAGAAACCACATTCCAGTTTATTTTGCTCCACTGTGGTAGATTGTCTGACTGGACTGCTCTCCACAGTTGAGGAGGCACTGTACCTAACGCAAATAAGAAAACAGAAGTAACTCTGCAACGTCAGTCTTTTATTTTTGTTCTCAGTGAATGTCCAACACTCTTCTGTAAAGCTTTTGTGTCTGTCTGCAGTCCAGACAACATGACTGAGCAGCTGACCTTACACCACTTGCACAGTCTAGTTAGCTTTTGCAGGTTACAGTATGGGAATAATTTGCCATACGACATCTGACCCAGTAACAAAAGTTGAGGGCAGCACAAGCGAGGTGAGCTAAAGAGTATCTTACCTTTTGAAAAGGCTTTAAAACCAAAAGTATTTTTACTCCACCAGATTGTTTAAAATAGAAGCGGAAATATTGTTCAGCTCAGTCTAAAGGAAAACCACAGCCCAACATATAGCCTACTGTAGAACAACACCTGCAGATTAATAACGCAGGCGCTCTCTGAAAACACCTCCCGCACAGCAGCACTAAGTTAAATTTTATTAAAAGCTTGAGGCTACTTTCCCTCTTCAGAGTTGCCTACATTAAAGTGTTCAGCATAACAGACCTGAATGATTAAATCCTCGTGTCCTTTTGAGTTAAACAGTAAAGCTGTGATGCCCTGATCTAATGTGTATTGGGAGTTTAGCCACCTGTATCAAGTTTTAACTTAGAATTAAACTTTGAAGCATTGTGAGTTTAACCATTAGCCTAGGTGTTACATTACTGTCTCTGCGGTTGCATTGCTACATGCTTCACGTTAATTAGCTATTTATTATCAAAACCAAAGTTGTACGTGGAACATTGTCACCACCAGCCATAATAGCAAATATGACAGATAACCACCAGTGAATTTCAGGTCATATGCTGCTCGAAGATAAGAAATTTTGTGCTGTAGTGCACACACACATTTCTGAGCATATTGTACCCTTATATTCGAGTGAAAGTAATTATATCTTTACCCGTTCATCATCACATCCACGTTGGTAACATTTCCTCAAAAATCTTCTTGTCTGAAATCATCAGTAGTCTCATTGTGGTATTATGTTCATATCAAACAGAAGTGTAGGATCCAAAGTGTCAGTATGGGATTTTTCCTCACTATTGGTTCTTGCAGTTGAAATAATGAAACTTGCTTTTTTTCAGCAGTCTGTTAGACAAAAATCAATCAATCAATTTTATTTATAAAGCCCAATATCACAAATCACAATTTGCCTCACAGGGCTTTACAGCATACGACACCCCTCTGTCCTTAGGACCCCCGCAGCAGATAAGGAAAAACTCCCCCAAAAAAACCCTTTAACGGGTAGCACATTGATCCCTTCATTTGTCCCTGTGCCTGTTGCGCTTAAACACATGTTGTAAGACAGCCATCACTGCTGCCTAAAACACGGTTTAATCTATTGGGTTAGGCTCGTTTTTTTTTTTTAATGTAGACACCAAACACAGTTTGTCACCAGACTTTCTTGTAGAAATACTAACCATATTATGATATCCTAAAAAATTTGGGGAATTAACAAGTAGTCCTTTCTCTTCAACAGACAGAGAGCAAAATATGTTTTCCAGGAACAATCACTGAGGTCTGCAGAAACAAGGAAACACAAAATTGCCTGTTTACAGCTGAAGTCCGACAAAAATTTAACCAGGGCTCGCTTTCCCTCAAGCTAGTTAATCTTTAAATGGCTTGAACTTGATTTACAAAATATACCAGGTCTATGCCAGGTGAAGAACCACCCAGATGAGACAGAGAGAAGAGGGAAATTGATAAGTGGAATGCAGTTTAGCTCGGAGGCAGTCAACATTTTACTTCAAGACCGTAGTCTTGATTGACATTGATGTGCGAGAGCACTCAGTTGTTGTGGCATTGTACATGTGCATGCATGCATGTGTGTTTGGCTGAGTTATGGGTACAAGTGTTTGCGCAGTACATGATAATGTTAGTGGTGTAACCTTGACAGCAGTTTTATTTGGTATCAGACATAACCAATAAGGATCTTCTATGTTTGGAGGCCTGGAGAAGTGTTGAAGGAATGAGGGCACAGTGTAGGTAATGATACTGAAGGCTTTCAGTGCAGTTGCTCATGTAGTCAAATCACCATCAACCAAAAGCAAATTATCCAAAACACACAGAGGATACAAAAAAATGTACAAGCATTGTGTCCACAGTGTGCCACATACAGTTCAGTAGAAGTTGTTGTTGCATTGACATTTGGTAATTGAAATCATTTAAATAATGAATTCATCAGGGCTTTGTCAGTTTTAGCTGGTCAGTCCAGTGCTGTATGTAATATGGATACTCTCCATGACTAATTTTGATAAAGTCTTTTGTGGTAGTTGCGTTTCCTGGTGCTTAAAACATCCATATTAGATCTTGTAGTATCCAACCCAGCAATGCTTAATGCACCCTGGTGATTCCTGAAGTCTGTTGGATTTATATTGATATGGACGTAATGTTACTGCACCAAAATGTCTCACCTGTGATCTGTTTACACTCAATATCAGTAGTAAGCTGACCTTTTAATGTCCAGACATCAATGAAGGCCTGCATACTAAAAAACATTTTGCATGTTGTGAAAACTGCACTGCTTAAAATATCCTACCTGTCAAGTGTGACCTCATTTGGTTTTGAGAGGCATATGTTACAGTGCTGACGAACTCACTGGTCCACTTAGAAACTGAAACCAAATATTTCTAATATGTTGCACTCTGAGTATGAAAAGCATGGCTCAGTTGGGCTGTGGATTCATGAGATGTTCCTTTTAAGACAAGTGTGGGAGGGACAGGAATACTCTGAATGATAATATTAATAATAAGAGATAA